AGCAGCAAGCATCAGCCGGCTTCGAAGCGTGAACCCCAAGATGATGGAGTGCGAGTGATCAATTGATGTGGCGGCGGAGGCGGAGAGCAGGCAAAGTAAGAGGCCCACAGACTCCCAGAAGTCAAGGACCTTCAGACCGTCAGAGGAGGGGCGGTGGCAGCCCAACCAAATGCGCAAGCCATCTACGGAGAAGCAGGGCTCGACGATAGGACGACGACGCTTTGTTGTTGTCCAAACAGGGCCCTGATTGACGGGGGGCTGGATTGATGAGTTGGCGGTGCTGGCGAGCTGATCCAATGAAGCTTGCAGGCAGCCTGCAGATAGCCTGCAGACAGCTCTGCGGCACCGGGGTGGCTGGTCGGGTGGGCGCGCGGGCAGCTCGGGTAAGCTAGCACGCTAGCGACATCAATTGATGGCACCTGGGACTTTTGGACCGTTGAACCAGACTGTTTGGCCTCGATCTTGTCTGATTCGGATATGCAGTCTGGTACCAAGCCGTGGCGTCATGGTGAATGCTGGAGGTGACGGTGGCGACAGCAAGGAAATGAGGAGCGGCGTTTGTGTGTCACGAAAATTAGGAAGGGAAAAAAAAAAAAAAAAAGAACCATGCTGGCTTCCAAAGGTCGGTCCCATGTCCTCCCCTCCCCAGTTGCGGCCAAACATTTTTACAACTGCCACTCATCAATGCCGCGGCACCGATAACCACAAACACCGGAAATCTTGAGCACATCTCGACCTGCAACCCGAATGACACGCCTCACTAGCCCGTCCAACTGCATGCGCCTCCAGATGGCCTGGCGCACCAAGTCTGTGCACAACTGCGCAGCTCTGCAAAAAATTCTGCAAGGTGAAGAAGCGTCTGCACTCATATGAAGCAACGAATTGTTCCATGGTGCCTTCTTTTTCTCTTGTCAATGCCTCCCTCGTCCGTCCCCAAACTGAAGACTGTTTGACCCATGTCCGTTCCGGCTGGTTCCTCTTTTTACATACACCAGAGATGATCATTGAAAAATTAAAAATTAAAACAGCATCAGACCATCGGGGAAAGCTGCCGGTCGTTCCAACAACAATGGGGTCCGAGCTCGGCAGACATCATCGTCCCCAGCCAAGCACCGCTGCGTCTGGTACCATTCGAAAACTCCATACCGTGATGGGAATAATTGAAGCTCATGCGCCATGCGCCTTGCCAAACCAAACACCCCGTGGCCACAAAGTTTCAAGCGTTCCTCTTCTCCACAGAGGCCCGTTCGGGACCCAAATTCAATTTCAATGCTGCCAAGCCCACCAGACATGTGCAGCCACATCCAGGGCTCCTCTCCAAATGCGACCTCCACACACAAGCCCGCGCCGACCAATCACTTGTACAAACTCTCTGTACCTCAGGCTCAAGTTGCCTCGCTGCCATGGTAACCGTCAGATGGAAGCACGATAAAAAAAAACTCGGTCAAGCTTAATGAGGTCTTTTTTTTTTCAGTCATCTGGTTGCGAATCTCTGAATGCCCGCCACGTAGCGTCGGGCCATGACGATCAGACGGTTCATTTGGGGCTGGTCCCGGACCAAGTCTAGCGAGTCCAACCTTTTTTTTATTCGGCTATCTTCTTGGATGCCGGCCAAAACACTTGGGCTTGGCACGTCGCCTCCGCACTTTGATTCCGCCGTCTCCATTCACCGTCCCAATTCGTAGTGCTGGCGGCTGGTGATGCGCCAGATTTGGAGGCACGCATTCCAAATGTATCCCTTGGCGTGGTTCCCGGAGCTTGAAGGGTTGGGGATGTGAACCTTGTTTGAATATCGCGGCAAATCACCAGGTTACATCCAATCCCGTCTAAAGGGCTGCATGGCAGGTGGTTATTATTGTATTGTATGAAGGACCGAGTACGCACGTAACCTATCAATGGCACGTGGCTGTGTACACCCGGTTGATGCCATGCACTCCAAAATATCAGCATGTAAAGCGCAGTGCGTCAAATCAACAGCACTCAATCGGTAGGTAGAAGGACAACTTGGTCAGAGGCAATGAGTATTCGAACTGTTCGGGGACCGTGGCACGAATTGTCTCCATTGTTTTATAGGTTGTCTGCATCACCCTGTATGCACATGGCTAATCTTGACGACTACACGAATGAATTACGAGCAGCACACCAACAAGCAAATGTCCAATACGATTCCATACACGACGCGGCCCCAGACGAATGACAAGACGGCTACCTCGTACTACAATACACCAAAAACAACTACCACGTCGCGGATCGAGATCCCTGTGCTCAATCAAATAAGCTCATCTTCCTGCGAGCACCCCGACAGTGGCATCAAGGCCAGGTTTCATCATCAGTTATCCCGCATCCCAGGAAAGGCATTAAAGATACGCAGGGAGTCACGGAATACTAGTTTCCCGCCTGTCAAAGCATATACCCAAGCTATGTACCCAACATTGGGAGAATGACAAGGAACGACATCATACTGCGCCCTTTCGTTCCTATACGCAGTGAAAGAGAGTAGAAAGTTGTTGTGAATGATATAAAACGGATTACGCACCCACTCATAACGGGCGTAACTCACAAACGTAGCACTGCACTTGCTCATCGTGATAGCTCTGATATTTCAGACTTTTAGCCCTGTCCCCGCAACTGTGCTCATGACACCAAGATGCAACAAGCAATATATTTGTGATCATGACCGCCCGTCTCAAGTAAGCACATTCCGTAAACAACGTCACAACACTTTCACAGCTCTAGTGTAGTGAAACCCTTGCGGCTCTATCCCGGAGCTCAAGCAGGGCAACACCGTCATAGGTCCTGGCGTGGTTGTCATTTCGACTATCCAGTGCCAAATTCGATAAATATCATCTTGCTCACCAACTCAAGGGTGGCCATTTCTCAAGCTGTAAAACAACCTTGCGCTTGGTCGTTGAAGCCATGCGCAAAGGCGCCTTCGGCCCGCCTCTCAACACCAAAGAGTTTGTAGGATTCCCACGGAAAGGATCTTTTTCTTTCAGGCATCCACGAAGCTACCAACCTGGCTGCATTCGCAGTAACTCCATATAACACGACTCGATTTCTTCATTTCATTAATGTAGTCCGATTGTAGATCTGTAGGAAGAACAAATACACATACCACTGTGACTATACATGAGCCAAGAAGCAGAAGGAAAGGGGGGGAAAGGGGGAGAAAGCCGTAACAAACGCCGAATTTCACCTCCATTGTCCAATTCATTACCAAGCACGCAAAGTCCACCAAGTCAAACGCCCCGTTCACGTGTTTGTATTTGCCAGCTCCCAATTTTCCCATAACCCGGTGCGATAAATCATGTCCAACGTGAAAAATGACAACAACCACCACCAAAACAAACAGGTCACGACGTCCTCGTATCTGTTATAACTGCCAGCGGCGGCTGGGCAGGATATGCTGGCGGTCGTCCGCCAGTCTCCAAGTCCCGTAGCTCCGAACCCTCCTCGCCCGTCTCCTCGCGCCTTGTTGCATGTTGATTATGCAGGGCGGGCGGCTTCTTTGAATCGTACGGCGGAGGGGCCTCGCCCAGCTCATTCAAGCCCTCCACCGACCGCGTCTCCGACCATGGCGACCACCTCAGGCCGCGCCTGTATCTGATGTAGGAGCTACCCACAAGGACTCTGTCCTCGGGCCAGGCACGCCGGTCGGGGTTTTGTCTCCGTCTTTGGCGGTTCCAGATGAACACTATGAATGTACCGACAGAGAAGACGGCAACAAGAGGAATGATGACCCAGACGAAGGGTTCTGTGGACATGCCCGAGGTGTCGGTCGTGGACATGTCGGACGTGGAGGCCTAGGATTTACTACAAAAAGGAAACAAGAACGGCCTTTGACGATTGGGGAAATCAGTAGGGTATCGGGTATGCGGTAGGTAGCTATTAGAGATATCGACGATGGAGTATGCCGGCGTCGTACTAGGGCGCGGATCTTTGGAGCTGTTATCTTGATGGTCTGAATCTGTGGTGGTGCCGGCCAGAAGTCACAGAGAGGACGGCAAACAAGAGACAGGCCCGTGGTTTGTGTCAATGTTTCACCGCCGTTGATAAGGAGGAAAATACCGGCATCGCAAACCACGGCAGCTCGAGCGCTGAGATTCAAGCACGCACGTACGTGGTCAGGTCGAGGTGTCGGGACATTGTTGAAGCAGCCTGCTGGAGCTGCTGGACCACACCACCTTTTTATTCTGCCGGAACGTATCTCAGCATGTACCAGACGTGACGTGCATGGAGGGGGTCCGGTGGACGCAGTCAAGCAGTCTCTTGCCTTTCCGGTGACGCAAAGGCTAATACGCGGCAGATGGTTGCAAATACGCACTTGGCACCTGCGGAGGGCGCATGGTGGCGAGACTGAACCAACAAGACCCGGAGATGGACGTTGCCGGGCGGCTATGGTTACGCCTCCTCTTGACGCCTCCTGCGTTTGGGACGGACGATGAAGGCAAATTTTGGGTCTGCTTTGGGCCGTCTGAGACTAACAGGTAGGATGGCGTCCGTCGTGCCGCGGCATGACGGCTTGACGATTGGACTTGACGGGTGCAGCAGGGTCCGGAAGGTGAAGACGTGATTGGATCGATCGCCGCCTTGTACTGTTCTGCACTATCCCATTGAGTGTGCGAAGGTGCAGCTTTTGTAGCGGACGGGGATGTGGGCTAATAAGAAGCTAATTATTAAAAGATACTTATTTTTCTTAGTAAATAATATAAGAATATAAGTATAAATATCTCTAAATATATATAAAAATATTATATAATACTTATATTATAGTAATAAAAGTATTTAATATATCAGAAAAGAGTACGTCCGCTACATAACCTGCACCTTCGCACACTCAATGGGATGCGCCACCAGCCCCGCAAAATTTCACGGACCACCAAACACCCATTTCCAGCCAACAACATTGAGTCTCCTTCACGACTCGGTAGAAGCTGCGTCACCACGTCGCCCGCCCTTCACCAAGTGCACCCAAAGCGGCGCAGCCAAGAGTGACAAAAATGCCACGCGCAATCCGAGGTTCGTCGAATATTTATCCCTACCATCCGCTCAACGTTTCCCCGCCGACGAGCAGCGTAGCTGACCAGTGCCATTCTCGCAAACTCCAGGCGTCCTGATCGAGTGCGATCCCTCCATCAAATCCATCATCGTGAACATCGACAGCGATAACCATGATTTCATCATTGAGGACTTGGACGAGGAGAGGGTTGTAGTCAAGGAGAATATGGTTCCCTTGCTCAAGCAGAAACTCGAAGATGTGCGTTCCAACCTACCCATCTGCAAGAGCGTAAAATCTAGCCTCCTCACGCTTGTCATCGTCTCGCAAAACGATACACCACTTACAAGCATTCACAGCGCCTCAGGGAAAACCTCCCGCCCGTCGACGAGTCAGGTTCCGAATAACCACAAGAACCACAACCTGTCATTCGTCCATCGTTGGCCACACCAGACAAATACTTGACTTGGATGGCAAGCCTAACTCGACCTCAGGTCTAACGAAGCGCGGCGCACATTTCCGTATCCGCTCCTTCATATATCAGTACACATGGAAATCGGGTGGCGGCCGTATTTTCGGCTGTGACATCTACTCGAGCACCAGCAAAGCGCATTGTTTTTTCTATTCTGCGTTACGTTCCCCCTTGTCCACGTCTACAGCTTCTCAAACGTCGGCGTCTTCTTCGAAAACACACTCATCAACGCACTCGGCACATCGCCGGCCTGCAGAGCGACCGAATTCCAAATAGTCGTGTACCGCAACGCAGCGGCGGTGCCATTATCCCTCCCGTAATTCAACAGCTCCTTGGTGCCCTGCACCGCGACGGGGCTCTTCTCCGCCAGCCGCGACGCCATGTCCAGCGCGGCCTGCACCGTCCGCGCCTTGTCCTCGTGGACTTGGCTCACGAACCCGACCTGCAGGGCTTCCTGGGCGGAGAAGTCCCTGGCGGACAGGCACACGTCCTTGACCCAGGACGTGGAGCCGACAATCCTGGGCAGGCGCGCGAGGGTGCCAATGTCGGCGGCGAGCCCAATGTCAACCTCCTTGACGGCGAAGCGGGTGTTGGAAGCGGCGAGGCGGACGTCGGCGCAGCACGAGATGTCGATGGCGAGGCCTAGCGAGACGCCGTGCAGAGCGCAAATAACAGCTACACGCCGAAGCAAAAGATGCACACCAAGTTAGCTCAGTCCCCAATATCAGGTCCAACCTGCCACGTTTCTTCCCTCCGCGTAGAGTGACAAGTGGACCTCGGGCAGCGGCAAAGCAACAGTAGACAGTAAAACATACGCTTCTCACACCTCTCCATCTCAGAAATACACCCCTGAAACTCCCCAATGTGACCCCTTAAAGCCTTGGCCTTGCGCGCGGGATCCAAGTCGCCTCCCTCGCCGGAAAGCGGCCCCTCGGAACTAGCAGCCGACACGTCCAGGCCGGCCGTGAAGGCCCTGTCCCCCGCGCCGCTCAACACCACCACCCGCACGTCGGCATCGTCGCTGAGCTGGCGAAAGACGCGCCCGAACTCGAGCCACACCGGCCTCGAAAAGGCATTCAGCTTAGACGGCCGGTTCATCTCCAGGTGCGCGACGTACGCCGACGGAAAGGTCACGCGCATGAATTCGTACGACGAGTAGGCGGCCATGGCGAAGCGGAGAGCCGAGTGACGCCGTGGCTGGTATGCTGGATGATTTTTCCTCGGCGGTGCTTTTGAAAAAAGAGGGGGGTGGAATTACGAAACAAATTACCTCGATTTAGAAACACAATTGAATATATATAAATATTCTCAAGGCTCGGTGGGGGATCGTCAAAGTTCGAGGTTCAATGTTTGAAAGCTCGGCCGCGGTCGACTGTAGCGGCTGCGATGACCTAATCGCCCGCGGAGCCGAGGTCAAGTCCCGTTTGGGAGGCGACCCCCTTCTCCAGACTTAACCCTGGCTTGGGGGTTGGGCGCCGATGCCACACTTCACATGCCATCGGCAAAATTCTAGAAACAAACTCCCACGGACTCTCGGGACAGAGTCTCTCTTGCGGATGAACACCCTGCTGCCAATCAGCGTGTAGACAACATGTTGACGTTGCTGGTGTTTGCTACTCCGCATGCATCATCTCGTTGCCAGCTAATCCGAGGATGCAACACAGTCTCTCTAACCAAAGTACAACCGTCATCATTCAGTGCTTTGCTATGGACAACCACGCCTGTCGTAGACAAGCGAATTGCCCACACGAAGCCTACGTATTCCATCACAACACGGGGCAATGGCTTTTATGGACATGGCGGCTGTAGTCTAGCATGAATTACTACCGTTACCTCAAGCCCGGCGGCCGATCTGACCGCTAGCCAATCGGACCACCAATAAACAAGGTGTCAACCCAATAGCCCTTATAGTACGTAGCCCCCCAGGGGTTTTAGACAGTTCCTCTCATTATGCTCGCATCAACTGATTTACATGTCTTGGCCCTGTCCCCCCATAACAACTGACAAGTTCTACCAACCCTATTGTCGCCAATTTTCAGACGGTATTTACAGAAGCAAGGTGCCAAACAGGGTGAAGAAAACTACCATGCCAGTGATGATGAAGGGGGCCTTCTCAACAGGACCGAAAGTTGTGACGCCAGCGCTGTCAGACTCCTTGGCACCGCTGCCAGTGGGAGACGCTGCACCGCCGGTGACACTAGCGGTAGACGTGCCGGAATCACCAGCGTTCTGGGAACCATCGCCGCTGAGATCGAAACCTGGGCCCTTGCCAGCGCCGTCCTTCATGTATTTCTCAGCTTGACTAGGCATTTGGGGGACCAGGCTGGGGTTGACCTGCCAGCCAGCATTGGAAGTAGGGCAGCTGACGGAGTGGGTGGTCGAAGCAGCACCACCTGCGCCAGTAGGGGCAGGGTTGTTCTTCAAAGCAGACTTGAAGGCGTCGTATTCGTCCAGTTTATCAACAGTCTTGGCCTTGAGCCCACCCTTGAGCTCTACGATGCCGTATTTATTGTCCTCGTACGAGTATTCGTACATGAGACCACCAGAATAGACACCAGTCATTTCGCTGCTCATCATGGCCTCGATCTCCTCAAACTTACGGGGGCGGTTGTCAATGCATCCGTACTCGGACAAGCTGTTTATTTCAGAAAAAAGACAGGACATTAGCTTGCAAGCGATCACCAGTGAATATGTAAGTAGCAACTTACAAGATAGCAAGGCCGTAGTCGGTAAAGTTCTTAACCTTCTGATCCCAGCCCGACTGCTTGAAGTTCGTGTTGCACCACGAGTAATCGTTGAATGCGAAAAAGTCGGATCGCATGTCATCAGAGCCGCAGTTCATGTACTGGGCAGTCTGCAGTCGGTTTGAGGAGACATCTGCAGCGGAATAACCGACAGGAACCTTACGAAGACCACGAGTGTTCATGTAGTTCTTCATGTCGCGGGTGACGGCCTTGACGAAAGGAGCAGACTTATCAGTGTCCTTCTCGTCGTTGATGACCTCATTGCCAGAGAAAAAGGCCAGAGTGTTGGGATATCGGGCGAACATGTCGACAGTGGCGAAAACGCTCTGGAGGTACTTGGCGTTGTACGAGGGGCCGGGGTCGCCGCGGTTGATAGAGTACTTGGGGTTGTTGACATCGAGGACCAGGTAGACGCCGGCGTCTTGAAGAGCCTGCATACACTTGTCATGGTTCAAGGTGTTGTCGACGGCGTAGACACGGATGGTATTCACACCAAGGTCCTTGAAATTGGCGATATCACGGAGACAGACATCGGTGTCGCCAAGAGGATCCTCGTTGGCGGAGGAGCCGCCGGGTTGGTAGTCAATACCGCGGAGGTAGAACCGCTCCTTGCCCTTCCAGAAGGCTAAGACAGTTCGAGTTAGCACACTGAGCGGATCGTGACAAGATGCGTGCAAAAATCAGGACAGTCAATCGAAGAACTCGAGAAGAGCAGTGGAGCGATGCCGAGCACGCTGATGGCGAAACAATGGGCGGCAGCTTACCGTTGCCAGAGACCGTGACAGTAGGGAAACTGTCACGCTTGGTGGGCGGCTCTTGTTCGGTGGGAGTTGGGGAGGCCGTGACGGCGCCAATGGCGGCCAGGGCCGAAGCAAATGCGAAGCCCTTCATGATGAATCGATACCGGGCGGTAAAGCAAATGAGTATGATTACAGTTGTGGTGGTTTAGTCGTGTGAGAATGGCAATAAAAATCCCCTAGAGAGTGGAGGGACGTCAGCGAGAGGAAGTCGGCGAGGCCAAGTAAGTAGCAGCCAGACTTGAAATTAGAAAGAGAAGACGGGAATAAAAGATCCAACAACGAGAGAGTTGGATTGACGACAACGAAGGGGAAGTCGCCAGAAGAAGTAACGATTCAGGTCTGTTTGAAGGAGGGAGGAGGAGATTCATTCTGGTGGGAAGACTCGAGGGGGGAGGCACACGGATGGGCGTCCATTTCGAGAGTCGGGCATAACCATAACTGACACTGGGCTTGCGGGCGCGACTTGGGACCGAGACACAGAGACATACCGGAGGAGGGTTCGAGGGCTGATGTTTCTCGCACTGTGCGGCTTGGGGGGTGGAAGCATCAATACATGCCATTGACGGGTTGGCAGTGATTGGCAGAGACGTTGGGAAACACCGGACCAGGCCAGCAAATGGCAGTCAATGCCACCAGCCAAAAGCCTAGGGATTTGCCAAGGGGCAGGAGGCAGGAGTGGCGTGGTGCTAGGCAAGAACTGGACGGGCCGGGGATATTCTGCCCTGGAACCTCTTGCCGAATAGCCAGCTAGTCGTGCCGTTGAATGTTGCACAGGAGGAATCACAGATTAGCGCACCACACACGCCTCCAGCCATTTACTGAGGAAGTATCCAGTCTCGTCAACACTACTACGGAGTACATGTGCTCCGTACTCCGTACAGGCCCGCCATTACAGCCGTTACAAAAGTCTGGCGACTCTGTGCTCTGTGCTCTGTGCCCGGTATGCATTGTACCACCAGTTGACACAGTACAGGACGCGCCCGCAACTGACGTCTCACTGTGGCCTGACCTGAAAACATTGGCACTGCCCTGCCCACCATGGCCACGTTGCCGTTCACAATATTGAATCTGCGAGGATCGAATTATATAGTAGCAGGAAGGGAGGCTTTTATCCTGTTCAACTAGCCCGTCGCAGCGCATTACGAGACCGGTCCGATGGAATGACGCACTATCGACAACACTATCACGATTGGAACCCGTCAAAGATGCCACATGGTGCACCCGCGCAACTGGTCGGTGACTCCGACTCGGTATCAACAAGTGCCCATCCCATGCCTCGCCGAGCCGTGGCATCGTTTGTGCCCGGCAGTTCATTAAATTGTTTGCTCACTTTATGGGGCATAAATATTATTATTTACCCTTCGTCGCGGTCTTGAAACGAGGACTCCTTCATCCCAGGCCCATCCATCCATTGAGCAATTGGAGGCGCCCTAGTCGTCCCATGCCCCTGAACCACCCCACCACATCGATCTTTCTGCGACACGTCCTTCCCCACACTGTATGCATGTTTGCACGTTGAACGGGAGGTGTGCGCATCGCCATCTTGTTTGAGTGGCTCGTCCACTGGTGCCCTGTTGCGCATCTTGGTTAGCTGGTGGCTGCACAGCCTCTCTCGTGTTTAAAGACCAAGGAAATGCGTCCAAGCCCGTATTAACCAGACTCGACACTTCGCAGGCTCGTAGCCCGTCCAGGTTCCGGGGCCTTGGAATCCCCGCAGTGCCAGCTACTAACCGGCTCTTCTCCTACTAAGTAATCAGCGCGGAGCCAGCGTTCTAAAGTTAGATTTTTTTTTTCCACCAATTTTCTAGGGGAAGAACCGCCTTCTCGCTGCTTTCTCTCGACCAGACGCAGCCTAGGTCAAATCACGGTACGAACTACAATGCACGCCGCATATCCGCCCAGGGCCACTGCCTCCTCACATGGGGATCGACGCACGTCCACGTCACTGAGGGTCTGGTAGTCAACGGCAAGGGTTCTTTCTCAGTGAGACCCCAAGTCAAGGGTCGCTCCAAAATTCCATCCCTAACACGCCTGCTCATTGACATTACGCCTAATCCAACCCGCCGGCAACTCGGCACGTCAACACATAACCCACCCGCATATTAGAGAGGGTCAGCAATAAAATAGTACAATCTGCAGTGTCGATGCAGTTCAATGGTTCCCGTCACGTCAAGTAGTTGCTGCGCCGAGTAAAGAAAAGTGTGAACTCCCTGACTCAGTACCTTGCTTGTAGTACGTACAATGTACATACCTGCTGTACCTACTATGTACTGTAGGTAAGTACCTTGGTTCGGCCTCTGGAGGGCTCTTCCACTGACCCTGGTCCGCCAAGGCTCTAGCCAAAAAGGTTATCGCTTCGTCAATCTTGAAGAGCCGGCATCGAGTCTCTCAAGTGCCACCAGATCGAAAACATCGACAAACATGTAATCGACGTCAAGTATCCCGTTACGCATGCCCTTTCTGAACTATGAGGGCATCCCCCCGCCGTCTCACCCCGTTATACACAAGTGTTGCAAGCATTCAGTTTCCTATGCTCTCGGCCGAGTGTGAGCTCACCGTCTCGGAGTGTGAATGACGTTTGTGACATTTTGAGTCATTCTGAGAAACACAATCATAATGGCTTAAAATGCCATGGTTGCCTTCGGGGGGGGGGGGGGGGGCCATCGGCTCTATACAACAGGGGCACATATTGATATGCAGTGGGTTACAGCCATAGTCTACGTCTCCTGGTATATTATATGAGAATGACTGTCATTTGTATGCAGAGTGTAGACGTCCTCCGCTGACTGTACTAATATGTCAGATAGCAAACCACCGAGGGAGCAAGCCCTGTTCCAACACATGTACTCTTAACCGCTCTACCCAAAAAGAAGAAGAAGAAGGAAAAAACGCTACCGTCTACAACTCGGGCACATCAAACAACTGTTGTACACCGCTCCAATTCCCCTTGGCCCGTTCCTCCCAATACCCATCCTTGCCCGTCTTTATCTTCCATACTTCCTCGCCGTCGGGACTGTCATCTGCCTTCACAAACCACCTGGGCCGATGTGTATCTCCCCTGTCCTCCATTTCTCGGCGCCGAGCACGCTGTGCCTCCTCAAGGTTATGTTTCCACTTCTCAGCTTCGTCCAAGTCCCCCTTTTCAGCGAAACGCTGGTCTGGACGGAGTCGCGTGTCTGTCGGGGCCATTTTACCCTTTTCGATTTCAGTGATTTCGTTGAGACGCGCTGCAAAAAGCGTCATGCCGTAAGTTTGAGATGGGTTGTCCACCATTTTGCCGACATCCCAGATTTCTTCGCTAGCTGCTTTACCGGGGCCAATGGTTTTGAGGCCACCGGTCCAAGTCCCCACGAGGCCGCTGCCTGTGTCGTTGCCGTCTGGGCTGAATGTAGTCACGTAGACGTCCTCGGCACGGCCACCAAACATGCCTTTACTCTTGAACTCAACACTGGCTTTGTGGCCGGTGGTGTCGTTGGCTACGTGCATTGATCCTACAGGCTCGACGTACTTTTCACCCATGACAACGTTGCGCAGGAACATGGTTGCTATGTTCCACGAGTATAGCTCATCACTGCCGTCTGCCAAGCGAAGGACAACTCGGACGCGACCCTCGGTGGTGATTTCGGCGCTCTTTCCCCAGAACTTTTGTCCCGGAGCTGGTGAGTGCGAGAATGACCAGTTTGCCGAGTCGGCTTGCATGGCCAGCCTCACCGGCCGATGCTGAACCTTTTCCACGAGCAGTCGAAACCCCCCAGGAATGTCTTTGTTTGTTCTGACCAGTTCAAACGTTTCACCAAGAAGGGGGTTGAACGGTTTTCGAATGGCTCGTTCTTTGGCTCGACCGCCGCTGAATTGAGACACAGCAAAGGCCGTAACAAAGAGTATTCGTTCTGTTGGGCTTTTCTGTCTGCATGCTTTGTCCAAAAGCTGCGCATATTCAAGTGGCTCGGCAACCTTCTGAAGCAACGATATGGGTTCGTTGGCAGACACGGGCATGCTAATCGTGCTAAGATCTTTTCCGACGTTCTTGCGAACGAATGCGATAAGGCTTGGTGGTTGGACAAGCGCTGGCGGTATTCCGGTTCTTCGAGTGACGACTTGGTCAAGGGGGAGAGGAGTGAGATTCTTCGGCCTGACGGGGTAAACATCACCAGTACCTTCTGTACCAACTCCCTCTTCGTCTTCGATTGAGGATATGGATGAACTCTCGTGAATAGATTCCTCTTCAGCCTCAGTCTCGGCGGATTCATCCTCGCTGCCATCTATCTTGACGACGCCAGATTTCGCGTCCTCAGCATCAAAGAATTCGTCCGTGGATGTCGTTTCGATACTCATGCGGGAAGCACCCCCAGCGGATGGGGGTTGCGGCGAACGACGTCTTTTGCTGTTGACAATCAAAGCAGTAAATTCGGAGACGACGGAATCGAGATCAGAAAGTAGAGCCTCGCAGTGATCATGCAGGGACTTCTCCTCTTGGGCTACTCCGCGAGACCTTCTCTTGGACGCCTGACGGGTCACGGTTTCCGCACTGCTAGTGGCACTGGCAAGTGAAGGCACGGCCAGGGCTGATGGAGTGGTTTGTTGGATGGGGGAGGTTGACAGTGATGGGGCACTAGACTTTCGTTTCCAGAACGGCTTCTTCTCCACCGTCGCAGGGAAATAACCGTCCTTGTTCTCCTCGTTGGGGGTTCCAAAGCCGGGGGAGAGGAACTGTCCGTTTGGCGAAGGTTTTGGCAACTGAGCGACATCTTTTGTCAATCTGCGGAGAGCATCGCGCGTGCCCACAACACGACTGACAAGGGTCTCAACCTGCTGCCATTCAACGGTTTCACTATGGTATGGATCTTGTGTCCTCTTGAGCGCATGGCCATCGAGCTTCAAACTAGGTTTTGAGGGCTTTGCCAGTGTCTCGAGACCTCGAGCAAGGCGACTAGCTCGCTCCAGCGCTCGTGCCCAATCCTGAAATTCCTTGTCATTAGGTGCCCGCAGATGCCAAACCTCGGCACCAGAGTCAATGCTGATTTCTCTTCTTCGCTCATCTGCTGCAATGGCAGCCAAACTGAGGGGGATGGCTCCCCGCAAGGCAGACGAGTTTCGATTGTAGTAGTATGACAGAGTGCAAGTTGAGTAGTCCAGTGAGAAGAAGCGGCGAGCATAGCCCTGTCCTTTCTTGCGCCGTCTCTTTGAAAGTGTACCGACATGATAGTTCGGAGGGACTCCGGTAGCATCACTCTTTGCAGCTGAAGATTGCGCCCTCGCGCGGCCATGACTTGGAAGACTATCAACCGAGGTCGAAGGACCATTCTCATTATAAGGACTCCCATGCTTGCCCAAGCTAGACTGACTGTTCTGAGCATTCGGCAACTGCAGGTTCGGCAGATGGTTGGTTGTCTGAGGTGGCGCGCCAGTCGGATATGTGAGAACCACAAATGTAGCGGTCTTTGAGGTTTGCTTCGAAAAAGTGTTGTCGAAAACCAGGCCATACATGCCGCCTTCGCCTGTATGAACATCATGTGTGCCTCTGGAGACCTTGTCCGCTTCGCATTTCCCATGCCAGGAGATCGGGATGAAGCCCTTGCCGGTCAACAAGTCTTGCGCGGTAGTCTCCTTCTTGGGAAATCGACCTCCTTTGCCATCTGTGGTTCCTTGAACTGGAGCCCCATCGAGTACGTCGCCATTCGCGGAGAGGATTGTCGTTGCGCCGCTGCCCGGATGTTTAACAATACCGAAGTTACTGGTGATGGAGTATTGTCAGCGAAGGCGGCGATGTTACGGCTCTATTTTGAGATGACTCACATTGATTTCTTGTTCGGCTGCACACTCCACGAGAGGGTATTATCTTCGTCGACCCTCACCCATCGGACTATGTAGGACTGTTTGGGGTAAGAAAGGGTTCAAGAAGCGATGCTGGACGCTGGGCGACACTGGCGCGGGGAGATGAGAGCAGCAGGTGTCTCTTACCTTGCTGTGGACCTCGAGCTTCTCAATGCCGGCCATGATGGGTGTCGTGGCACCGTGGCCCTGGTGTGAGAGACGACAGCTTTAATGGTGGTGGTAGAGAGTGTGGCTGGAAAGCACCGTCTGAGAAGAGCACATGGAGGAGAGCCTTTTTATCGACTTCGCACGACTTGCAAGATCCGGCTTGGCTAGGGGGAAGCCGTGGCTGTCGTCACTGTTGGTCCCGGCAACCCGCGATTGCTGGGGAACTCGGAAGCTAAGGAAGCCCTGAGGGAGATGCAGGGAATGTTGGAGAGATGCAGAGCTGATGCAGAGCTGGGTGGCCGAGGCATTATCATGCGCAGAACTGCAGTCGGGCGTCGCGAACAGGGCTGCGGAGAGTTAGCACAGCTCAAGCGCTGCCATCTGGGACCAGTCAAGTGATCAATGGCGGCCGACCCGGCCAGCACTGGACATGGGGAGTTCCACTGGGGCCCCAGGGGGGCTGCATGGGTTGAGCACTTGACAGCACCTGCACATGGAGCATTGCCGAGCGCCCACGCGCTGGAGCCGGGCTGTATGAACCGCGGCGCAACCAGTTGACATGCCAGGCAGCATTCAACCTGTCATGAATATCAATTGAATAGAAATGTGACCTTCAAGGTGCCCCTCCAGCCTGCTCAAGGCCAGCCTCGTATAGCCGTGCGGCCATGTTATGTTAGCCCCGAAGTATTAAACTTGTCCGCATTGCAGCTCTCTCACCACTGGCAGCGACAATTGGCAGATACCACAGCTCGAACGACGACCATCAATTCACCAGATGCGGCATCTCGAGGCGCGGCTGGGGGTACGGATGGAGGCGCGGGCCAACTCTTCCCGCCGAACCGCTTTTGCCACCAGGCAACTAACTACTACTACATATGTACCTAGGCACCTAGTAGTTATGAGTTGTACAACATTGAATGCTGTGACTTGAAACTGCCCCGGATATCGGGGAGCTACGGAACTTGGCGAAACAGAAATAATAACGTGGCGGGTCTTGTGTCTCGCGGTCCAAACCGAACTTGTTTGTGTTTGTTGCCGACAATGACGACAGCCTGTCTCGTGTCAGCATGGGACCAAAGCTGATCAATTGATGACGTTGGACAGGCCGTGCTTGTATTTAGGGCACCAGTCAACCGGACATGGAGCTTTTCGCACCATTGCCAGCTTGATGAACTTGACCAACTTTGACCAAACGATTCCCTACTTCGCAGCCAGAGGCACACGGCCGATTACTGACTCGCTCCTTCAACCGCGCCGTGTCGGACGCCGTCTTGCCATTGAACCAAGACAGAAAACACAATGCACGGGCGACACACTCCCGACACGCTCCTCAGGCATGCGAAACCACACGAAAAGCCGTGCTGAAATCCTGAAAGGTAACAGCGATGCCCCCAGCCTCTCGAACCAATGTTGACTGGACCGTCAACTGGTGTCACTGGCCCACGGCAATGGCAGTGGCATACAGTACATGGCGGGGTCGGTGAGCGCTGAAGAGACAAGATGGTTCAAATGTCCAGCCTCAAGTCTCTATGTGTCGAGTCTGGCCTAGTGCTTGGCGGTGGCGCCTGTGCCTGTGCTGCCGGTGCCAGCGGTGCCAGCGGTAGCCGGGACTGGCGGATCAACGGCCAGCGCACCGTCGACGGTTCCAGGTGTCTGTCGGCAATGCATTGATAGCTGCTAGCCTTAACTGGTCCATGTCAATACTAGTACCAGTACTGCAGCAGATGGGCAGCACTGAGGCACTGAAATACCAGACTGCCTGGCTTGTCCGCCGCGGTTCGCCTGCGACGACCAAGACCACAGTCCACCAGACCAGACATAGAAGGTCAAGAGGTCTAGATGTCTGATGTCTGGACGTGCGTCCAGGCTAATAGCGCTCGATACCCCACTGTGGATCGAATGCCATGCTTTGGGTTCGAGACCCCACCATGGAGCACGCACCCTTCAACTTGAGAATGTTGGCCTAACCCTTGACGGCAGCTAACCGGGCCAGGACGTCTTGATGTTTCTCCTTTTCGGCCAGACCATCCGTCAAACGTCAAGTCGTTTTCAACATCACAACGGCGGCGGGAGTCGAGAGGTGCGCTCACAGCGTTCTGCTAATCTCTTTGTTTGCGTAGCTTTTGTTTCCTCCAACTTGGACTCCTTGCCTCCTCGCCTTACGTTTGCCCTTTACCCTTACTTTTTTTTTTCCTTCTTCCTTTTATCTTCTCGCCATGGTCCTTGAATAACTTCCATTATTTCTCCCATGCGACTGCTCTTCACCTTGGTTTCCGTCATTCTACCTCGTTTCTCTCGCAAGATATCCAACCTCCAACTTGGCTTGCAACAGGGCCCTTGAAATTGCTTCGTACCATACAATACCATAACGTATAATCTTCCCTCGCCATGGCCAGTGCTTTAAGTAAGCGCCAGCAAGCGCGCAATGAGAAGGCTCTCCAAGACCTTGTCCACCATGTCCCGGGCAACAATTTATGCGCAGACTGTCACGCGAGGAACCCAGGTTTGTTCAAGCTCCTCCGTGTATTTGAATTGGTCAGCCTACCTACTGACGCAAACCGCCCTTACAGCTTGGGCATCATGGAGTGTATGAAAGAAATATCCCCACCCACCGGCGCTCGAATCTCCTTCGATACTGATCAGTTCGTAGTTGGGCGTTTTCCTATGTATGCGCTGTGCTGCGATACACCGAAAGCTAGGGACTCATATCTCCAAAGTCAAGTCGCTGAGTATGGACAGCTGGTCCAACGAGCAGGTTGATGTACGCTACGACAGCTCTACACCATGAGATCTGGCCGCTTTGGAATGACTGACAAGAGTGTTCTAGAACATGCGCAAAGTTGGCAACGTTACTTCGAACCAGATTTACAACCCCGAGGGTCGAAAAGCACCGGTACCGATTGACGCGGACGAGGCGGACTCGGCCATGGAGCGTTTTATTCGCCAGAAGTACATTCATAATGTCGCCGTCAAGTCCGGCACGCCGCGAAGCCGAGGATCCGACGAAGGTACACCCCCGCCGCTGCCGCCCAAGAACTCGACAAAATTCGGATTCAGATCAGCTTCGTCTATTTTCCCCCTAACGTCTCGCGCAAAGAAGGAGCAGCGAGTGCTAGGCGGTTCGAATGGCAGCGCAGTGCCGTCCCCGACATTGCCGAATAAACCTTCTAGGCTTTTCGGGGCCACCGTCGATTATGCTGCACCGGATGAAACCGACAAGAAACTGACAAGACTTTATGAAATGGGGTTTCAGGATCCTCAGCGTAATGCCATCGTTCTTAAAGGTGTCAACGGCAATCTGGACCAGGCGGTTGAGGCTTTGGTCCGACTAGGAGAAGGCAGAAATCCATCCCCAGCACTTATGCCAGCGTCTCGAGAACCTACATTGCGTGCCACAAAGTCCATGACTCCATTGAATTCGAACTCAGGCTCAGCTGGGGTCGGGCTGAGCTTAAGCGTTCCGCAGAAACCGATGCTCGATAGACCAACGTCGTCATCCACCACGTCTACGAATCCCTTTGATATGATGCCGCCTGCACAACCTCAAACCGCCCAGTCTACAGGCACGCTGCATAATAAGAACCCATATAATGGCACGAACAATCCTTTCGGAGCTCCTTCGCAGCAAGTCGATCTCAGCCAGGCGCTCCAGGGTCTGCATGTGTCAACGTCCGCATCTCATCCGACATTCTTTCCTCAGTCTAATGGGGTACATCAATTACAAATGTCACAGCAGCAGCAACTGTATCAGCAGTACATGTCGCCGTCTGCTCCCGCTAGCCCTCAAAGTTATCAACCCATGACCTTCCAGAGCAGCATGACATATCCGCAGCCGATTTCTTCACTCCAGCAACCCATGCAGACGGGCTACAACCCGTTCTTCTCCCAACCGTCGAGTCCAGCTCCACCGCCGCAAAATTTGACCGTGAAAACGGCACAAGGAGGGTTTGCCAATAATCCGTTCTTACGATCCCCTTCGAGAATAGCATCACCGCCTCTTATACAGATACCGGAACAGGCCCAATCCAACTTTGCCGAGTCGCCGTTCCTGAGTACATCACCCCAACCGCTTCCGACACCATCGAATCCTTTCTTTACCAACATGCATCAGCCGCAGCCGCAAGTACAGCAATTTGTGCAACAATCATATGCTGTTCAGCAACCCCAACAGCCGTACTACCAGAAACCCCGACATGACAAGGCTTCGATAATGGCGCTATTTAATCAACCTGGACAATACACCCCCAAGCCTGCAGCCACAGAGCCAAGTATGAATACAACAACCCCAAGTATACCAGAAAATCAGGCTATCTACACTCAGTCTACCCAGCCACTGCCCACGGCAAACCAGCAACCACACAGTACGTCACAGCCAATAACTGGGAATACGAATCCATATATGAACCAAACTACGACCCAATCGGATCCTTTCGCATCAAATAAGCATATTAGCAGAGAGAGTATGAACCTTGGCCTTGATATGGCTTGGACCAATGGAAGACACAGCCCAGATGCATTTGCGAGTCTGAGCGCAAGGCATGTATAATGCTAATGAGAGGGGATGAAACGGAACTGTCAAAGTTGAACAAGATGCATATTCGGTGTAAGTGGTAGCAGAATCTGTATGATGTGGATATTCATGTTGTGTTAGGAGGAGAGTTAGACAGTATGGCGTTGAGAGTGACAATGCCGATCGATGCGTAAGCCGACAAATTGCAGATGGTCACCAAGCTCAGAGTTGCTACACAGCTTGGTGACGCATACCATGCCGTTTGCCGCAGTTGATGGGGTGTCCCTCAGAGAGCAGATGCAAACGAAAATTCAGATGTAAGTATTTTGGATTGGTTAATAATACCCGTGCAGCCTGTGATCTCCTCTTCGAGTGCAAGTTACCTGTCAGCGACTAAGTGGGCGAGCCCACCTAGCCGCCAACGAGCGCGTAGTTTCATGTACTCCGTAACTCTCTTTCAGACGATGCGGAGTATTGGGCTCGACCATTGATTGGGAGACGTGTAACTGTTAAGTAGCACTACTTCATGCCCAGCCTTGTGCTCCTGCAAAATTAGTCACATCAATTTGCATTCACGCAATTGGCGACGCAATGACGAACTTGTCTAGTCGCCGAGACGCCTTGCTCGACGGCTACGTCGGGCTTGGCGGGCAGGCCTCAGGCTGGACATGAAGGTATGCACGTGGTCGCAGACAGTGCCTTTGACGCGAGGCTGACTGTACAGACGAAGCAATTGTCAAGCCATTCGCTGGTCTGCAGCTAGCTGGAAGTGCTGCGTCTTTGTTCTCGGCACGGTACGAAAACGCCATTGCAGACAGTGCTGCAGAGTTTCCCACGCTGCGCCGCTCTCCGTCTAATCCGGCCGGATGGTGCATGGCGTTTCACAGCTGGCTCTGGTGGTCCGCCACGAAATGACTGGACATCGAAGGATCCAGTCGGGGTGTCTCAGGTGACTTGTCACCGCTCTCCCCCCGACACCAGCAGTTCTGCTTTTTCTTCTCCCAATCCACACACGTTGCACCGCACAAATCCATCTCAACCTCGCTTTTCCACGCAGCCGACTTTCGCAGCACACCTTCCGATCTTCTATCGATTGCATCTTTGTCTCACCGACTAATTCTACGAGATTCTCTTCGATTCAAATCATCAATCTAGCACCCACATTACTGCACCGTCCAGTCGCCACTTCAAGTCACTCCGCCGACGTCGCCAGCCAACTTGCCTGCGACGACCTCTCATCGAACCCATCGAATCCTCTCAAGACAGTAATCGTGGAACAACGATAACAATGGCGCTTTTAAGTAACCAGAATTTGAATTGTAGTAGTAATTACGGCGAGGACGTCGTTGCCCGAGTCAACGTCCTTGCCTCCTGCTACATTGTCGACTCAGCTGCCCAGCTCAAGGGCATCCACTACTGCACTACCGGGGCTGCAGGTATGTTCTCCAAGACTTCCTCTGACTTGACAATAATGCTATATCCCATGTGGTTCGGTTATCTGTGACTACCTTCAAATCATCATCATTCTTCTTCTTTATATCTTGTCGCCGGGTTGTTTTACTGACTAATCTAAAGGGGCGGAGTGGTATTCCTGAGGTCCCTACCTCAGGACTACCTTCTCCTCCAACAAGCCCCCCCCTCGCCGCGCTGACTTCGTCTAACGAGCTCGCTCTTCTTCCGAAGAACAAGAAGCGCGACAATTCGGGCCACCGTCGCCCGGAGCGACGAGGGGGGGCAGCACTCACGATCAGGGAAGAATGTGAGAGATTCTTTTGTGAGCCCATGAAGACAGCATTCCACGGTGAGAGGAACCTGTCGATGAATGGCTCCGGCCTGTCAGGTGCTTATTTACAAACGCCGCCACCAGAGAGCCGGTTATCCGACGCCTTCCGGCAGAGCATGGACATCAAGTCTCAGGGATTTGAAGTCGATGCCTGGATGGAAGTTTGGGATTACGCTGGTGGTGCGAGCTTTCGGGCCTTTGTGGCAAATAACGGACAGGAGAAATCCTTGTTTGTCTTTTTTGACATTGAAGGTGCCATGGGACGAGATCTCAAGAAAGCGTGAGTTACCCTTTCTCTTGTTAGATATTTTGCGATGACTGAACCTGATTCTGACGATTTGTCCTAATAGTCTTATGGCTCTTATCGAACTTGCTGATGGCCCTTTGGAATGTGCACACATCGTGACTTGCATTGATCGCCGCATACCCTTTGAGGAAGCACACGAATTGACCAAGAGCCTTCAGTGGGTTGGATTCGAAATGACCACTCTAGACCACTGGGCAAATCACCTCGATGTAACGAGCAAACGGTGGGTATTCATGGGCATGGAACTCTAGGAGTGATTGTGTATCCCTCGTCTCCTGGACCCAGAGTTTGGCCACATTATAGTCTCCTGTTTCGAACCCGGACTTGAGTTGTCAAACTCGTTTGCCCTCTCTCCAACTTCGTCTCGTAGCCATTTTGCCGCGTTTTCTTTGTTTTGCAGCTTGGCCATGAGCGGTAAAATGCTTTCCGGCGTTGGGCAGATGGAAATGTTAGCCTGGCGCAGTGTCTACCTTATGTTTTTCTTTCTTGTTCCTTTCGTGTCCTATTAATTTGTCTACCCTCGGTCTGGAATGTATCTTTCCGGTGGCGTTACAGCATTTAAGAGTGGTTTGATTTGATTGTATCAATTACCTACCGGAGAAGCAGGTCGCAGCATCATGGACACACGAATTGAAACTTTTTAGCCTTGAGGAGTTGGTGGAAATTGAATAAAATGATCTTTTGATCCCCAAAACATGGGCCAAGTGCTAAATGAACACACCAGCTGTGAAGTATGCCGCCTTATTCATCTATATCATGACAGGTCTTGTTCAAATTGCCTCACTACGAGGCCCTTGTCCTTTAAGTAATCCTTCACCTGCTTGACTGTATACTCGGCGCGGTGGAACATGCCGGCGCCGAGGGCGGCATCCGTCGTAGTCTTGCTAAAGACCTCTTCAAAGTGGCCCGGGTTGCCAGCACCGCTGGAGGCAATGACGGGAATCTTGACGGCATTCTTGACCTGGGTGATGAGCTCGAGATCAAAGCCGGTATTTGAGCCGTCCTTGTCGATGCAGTTCAGCAGCAATTCTCCAGCGCCCATGGCCTCGACCGCCTGCGCCAGCTCGACGACGTCCATGTCCCGCGTTTCCCTGCCGCCCTTGATGGTGCAGGCGTACCAGCAGTACGGCTCGCCCCTGGGGCCGGGGAACTTGGTCTCGATGATGTTGTGGCGGGTGGCGTCGAGCTTGGGCACGTAGACGCGCTTGGGGTCCACGCTCACGACGACGGCCTGGTTGCCGTACGCGCGGGAAATCTGCTCAATGGCCGTGTTGCCGAAGAGCTTGCGGCCGAGGGAGTAGTACTCCTCGGCGGCGATGACGGCGTCGCTCCCGATGGAGACCTTGTCCGCGCCCGACTTGAAGTACATTGTTGCGATTTCGAGCGCGGAGACCTTTGTGCCGTCCGTGTCGACGGTATCGCGGATGCCGCCGCCAATGGTGAGCGGCACGAAGACGGTCTGCGATGTCTGGCGCAGGACCTCCAGCATGGGGAGGTCGGCGATGGGGCAGTCGCGGAAGGACGTGATGTTGAGGAAGGTGACTTCGTCGGCGCCGTCGTGGTAGTACTTCTTGGCCATTTCGACGGGCTTGCCGAGGTTGCGGACGTCGCGGGCGTCGTTCTTTTCGCGGACGTCGTACTGGTCGCCCTTTGTGACGACGAGGTCGCCCTGGTCGTTGGTGCGGACGTCGAGGCAGGCTATGACGCGGCGGGTGAGGCCGTCCTTGGCCTCAGAAGAGACTGGATCGACCGGCAAGGATGGCGAACCCAGGGTTTCGGCGCCCTGGCCGTTGAGGAATGCGCGGAGGGTTCGCAGGCCTGCGACGCCCGACTTTTCCGGGTGGAACTGTGTTGCGTAGATGTTGCCCTTGGCCACGGCGCCGACAAAGGTTTCCGTGCCGTAGGTGCCTGTCGCGACGGTCCATCCTTGGCCTTCCAGCTGGCCCTTGACGTAGGGGAAGCGGTATGTGTGGACGTAGTAGTATTTCGAGTCTCGGCGCAAGTCGTACATGGACTGGCCGGCGGTGCTGGCGCTGTTCCAGCCAATGTGCGGAACTGACTTGATCGAGTCGTCGAAGCGGCCCAGGGATCCCTTCACCACACCGAGCCCGGGTACGTCGGGGTCCTCGACGGACCCTTCGAATAGGGCTTGCAGGCCGACACACACGCCCATGAAGGGTTTGCCCTCGTCAATATGTTTCTGGATGGCGGGCAGGTAGCCTGCCTGGGAGAGTTGGGAGAGACAGTGGCCAAAGTGGCCTACTCCAGGAAGAATGAGTTTCTAGATATCTTGGTCAGTAATTTCGAATCATTCATTTCGCCCTCCCCCGCGAAAAACAAGTCTCTTCTCTCTCTTTCTCTCTCTCTCCTTTTTCTGGGTTTTCCTATCCGCATTGGGGGAGGTGATGTGATGCATACCTCTGCTCGGGACACATCTTCTGGCGACCGGATCCAATCGACCTCATAACCCAGCTTCTCTACGGCGTTGACCAGACTGCGAATGTTGCCGGCGACATAGTCCAACAAGTGAACCTTGGGCATTGTGAGCCCCCCTATGAGAAATCGCGAAGATGCGATCTGATGCGACAAAGAGGAGGTGGGGGGTGAGGATGCGGTTGGAGGTCAAGGGACGATACGAAGGTTTCTCAGTGATTGGAGTCACTGATCCTAGCTGAGGGCAAATTATGGATGGTCGGATTTTTGAGCTGGCTACGAGGCAAGTAGGCGCATAACAAGAAGGTGACTCAATCTCGAATGCCGACAAAGGCGCATATGACACGGAAGTGCCATGGAAATTCGGTTGCGATGGCGGGGCATTTGAGCCCCACGTGGTTTTATCGATAGAGAAGAGTGAGTGTTGGGCGTCTAACCCTGGCTGGCTGGCTGGATCCTTGCCACCTGGCCAAAAACAGTATAGTTCAAAAGCAGATTGACAGAACCGACAACGCCTCACCAGAGTCACCACTTGCCACTCACTTACATTGAAACCAAGCAAACAAATATCATTATATTATGTGTATTTTATCCAGGCTTTCACGGCTAACAAATCACATGCTCGTCTCTTGTAACCCAAAGAAAGAGTAGGGTGTGAAGAGTGCAAAATTGTACAAATCGGGATTGGGCGTCCGGTTTTTGCCCCGATAGTCGCCCTATTTTTTCTAACCCACTCACTTACTGAAGCCGTCTCATCACTATACATGGCAATGGAGAGACCAAAGAGCGTGTTTACCCCGGATGAACCCGGGGCTTTGCCTCTCGACCAGGTCCTCGCGCAGGTAATTAACGACGACCAGGAAGAATGGGAGTACGAGTACTCCGCCACAGAGACAGAGGTAGGTCCATCTCTCTCTCTCTCTGCCTTCTTTGCATCATCGCTCACAAATTTTCACAACAGACATTCTACCTCACAGTAGAACTCTCGTATCCTGAGTTCAAAGAGCGCGCAGCTAGAATCCCTCAGCACAGTCGCGGCGGATACTACAGGAACTGGGCGGAACAGGACGCGCCGCGCGAAACTCCCAAACCGCCGCCGCAAGAGGCCAGACCAGCCGCCGGCGACAACAGCGACAACGAGGAAATCACCGCAGAGCAAGACTACGAGGATGACGGCACGCCGCTGGACCCGGCCCTCCTAGCCATGAGCAACGGCAAGGGTAAGGACAAGGCAACAACGCCTCTGCCCGCAGACACGCCAAAACACCAAGAAGGAGCCCAGCCCGCCCAAGCCCAAGAGGAACCCCTGGTGACGGAAGACATCCAAGTCCTGGACCTCCACACGCCCAGCCCCCTCTTCTCCTACAGAGGCCGCCTCTTCCAAGGCCACTGGGCAGAGGTCATTGGCACCGAGGTCATCCTCGCCGGCACGCCGCCCTCCGACGACTCGGCCGCGCTCCCCTCGCTCCGCACGCTGCCGGGTGACATCTCCCTCCTGGCAGCCAGTTCCTCCCGCATCATGACGAGCGAAAAGATGCCCCGCCCCAAAATACCCGCTGTGGACAAGCTCGCTCCCATCAAGGAAGAATGGAACATCCGGATCCCTCGGGCCAAAGACAAGACGGGCGAGCGCGCAGAACAAGTCAACTTCCTCGAGAACCTGATGGCGTTCAAGATTAAAAAGGGCAACAAGGACCAAGTCACCGTCTACGCCACCGACGGCAAAGGGAAAGATTGGGACGACAAAAAGTCTGTGTCTTACAGACCGAGACGGAAAAAGATTGGCGAGGAGCACGATGCCGAGAAGCCAAAGAAACAAGTGGGCAGGCGGCCGAGGGGCAGACCGAGTCTGGCAACGAGACTGGAAGGGTACCCCGTGGGGTTCGGGGAGGGTGCGACAAGGCATATCGAACTGTCGACCATGACGCCGACGAGATGGGATGACCTGGATAGGGAGGATGCTGACGAGGAGGGCAGTGAAGACGGTGAGGATGTTACTATGACGGGGTGATGTGTACCTCCACGCTGGCACCAGACGCAATTGGAATCCGTCTCGGTGTCTTGGGATCTAATATTTCCGCGAGATTTATCCCATGTCATCAATTTTCAAGTACAAGGAGGCTGTGGAGAATATCTGGAGCTGCTGCTGCGGGAAACTGAACACGAGCCAAGAATCAAATTCAACTCTATGAACGCCTAGCTATGCCCTTTATTGCATGTTCGCCAAAGAAAACTTGGGCCGCGAGTCGAGCCCATGGCGGGTCCGAAATGCCAGGCACGCGGTACCGCATCACCAACTACGAGGACATCTCCGCACTCAGTACAGCCGACTGGTCTCGGGGATTAGAATCGGGGAATGGCGGCCTGGTAAGCAGCTTCAAGATCGGCCAAGCCCGGCCTACTGCCCGCCTTGGTGACGGGCCGATACGGTTTCACATCAGCATAGCAATGGGTTTCCGCCTTGTCAGGGATAGTGCCATTCAAAAGGTAAGCGCGGAAAAGGCGATCCGTGCAATTCGACACATGTGCCCACGAACCGTGGCCGTACCCATGCTGAACAATTAACCTGGCGTTCTTCGTACCCATTTCGCGGAGGAGCTTTCGGCCATTTACAAGCGGCGTGACCGGGTCGTGCGTCATGGACGTCAGCAGGAGGGGGTTCCTCAGGGGCTGGCCGAAGTCGCCGCGATACACCTCGGCCCCCTTTGGCCAGTACTTTTTGTAGTTTCGGCAGGGAAACACGGATGCAAAGTTGGCGTGGCCGCTGAGGAAACTCTTCTTCACCATTTCTCGCCAGAGATTCTCCCAGAAATCGAGACCTTCGGGCTGGCTGGTGTCGCTCACGTCGCCGCAAACCACCATGAGGAGCAGTTCTGACCCCGAGTCAGCTTCGAGATTCAGGTCCGGCGGCTGGTAACTCCAGGACTTGGCTACCAGGGCAGTCGTCGATGCCAACCTGCCCGCTTCCAGCTCCTGGAGTACCTTGGCTGCGCTGGGCCAACTTGACGGCGCATACAACGTTGCTGAAATCAAGGAAACCACGTCGCTGTATGTGATGATCAATGGCCCGCTCTTTTTGCTGTATGTTGGTATGGGACGCTCTGCCAGTCCTTGGAGAAGCTTCTCCATCCTCTCCTTCAACGAGTCTAACGTCACATGAGAGCCATTGACAGGCTTAGCTAAGGCGCAGCGTTGAGGGCCAGCTGCAACGCATTCACCCAGGAAGCCGTCGTTCCAGACATCAGTTGTGTTGTATAATGCTGTTCGTCCGTAGCCTCCCACGGCTCGGTGATCTCTGGCATAGTCCATTCCGTCCAAGATCATGCGCCCTACACTATCCGGGAACATATTAGCGTATATCTGAGCCAATGTGGTTCCATAGCTGGCAAAGTATCCCGTTAGTTGCGTTTCGTTTAAAGCAATTCGGATAGACTCCACGTCGCGGGCAACGGCTGCCGTGGAAGTAAATCGAGGGAAGTCACCAAGCCTCTCCCGGCACGAGCGAAACGTGGCGTCGTTTATGGCATTGACCGTCTCCAGCTGTTGTCGAGCACATGCCGACTCTTTGAGATCCTTGCCCAACACCAGGGACCAACGGTCTTCGAGACCGGCGTATGGGAAGCATGTCACCTGGGGCTGTGAGGAGCCGACACCGCGAGGGTCCCAGCTGAGCACGTCGAATGTGCCATTCGTCAATGCTGCGGCCAAGTTCTCTGCGGATTTGAGAACAAACGAAACGCCGCTTCCTCCTGGGCCGCCGGGGTTCAGCACAATAGTTCTCTGGCTTTTCTTGCCGACGCCGGAGACTTGGTATTTGGCAACGGCCAACCGAGTGATTCGAGGATCGGACTTATTGTGGTAGTCCACGGGAACGTCCAAATAACCGCAAAAGAAGAGACCTTTTCTCTTGGTAGACGGCGAGGCTGAGGAATTAAGACCCGATCCCCCCCAAGCCCACGTATCGGGGTTGGGATTAAACAAATGACTCCATGTGCCTCGGTGATCTGTATCATTCAGAAGAGGAAAATTCAGCGTCTCTATGGCATTGGGGCAAGGAATGAAGTTGAACGGGTCATTTGGTTTCGGAAAGCGTTGCGATGTTGTTTTGTGTTCAACGTGAACATGAGCACCTGCTTGTGCCGCTTCCACGCCCTGCACGTTCATCAGGTGCCACAAAGGGCCGAAACTGATACTCAGGGACACTAGCTTGAACCAGAGCCTCGGAAAAGCGTTCAAGCCCGTTTTGTGCTCCATCTTGTGTGTCGCGATCAGCAGCTATGGATCGCTTTTAACGTGGACTTGGCCCTTCATCAAATCTATCTATTGAGGGAACTGGGGCTTTCTTTATAGTTGGAAATCGGAAGGCATTGGAAAGGCCCTAATTCTAAAGTTTTAACTAGCTAGCTTCTAATTTGAAGCTTGCAGCTAGCTCAAACCTTGGAATCTAATTTGAACCATCTAGATGACGAGGCCTAGCCAGATGATTCATTTGACGACCTAGATTACGTATTCGTTGGCACAGCCTTGCACCTTGGATCAAAGCTATTAGTATATGTCTGTATCCGAATTGTCAAGGCTTTTAATGACATTGGTGGTGTTGAGAAGCCCTAGCAGCCAAACGGATTCTTCGAACCTTTGACCCGGCAGGACCTTGGTCAATCTAACAGCTAGACTATGAGCGCTCATACGCACCTGGTATTCAAGGTTTCTCTTGAGTAGTGTGATGTTTTGGCCTCTACCCAATCTTGCCTGTTGGCATTGGCTGCCGTGAGGGCGGCTTGTTTAATTCGCACCAGGCCCTTTTGCTATAGAGGCTTCAGGGACCGGATTGTGTTGAAACTCATGATGGTCCAATCGGGCTAGTCCTCGACAAATAGGCCTCTTAAAGCTAGCTATTACAAATATTAACGTCCTCCCGGAATGACAGTGTCCATTTCTTAACTGCTAGCTCTTTGGTGTCTTTCTTCATCTTGGCGCCGCCTTTTGCCACCTCTGGCGTATCGCGATGCGTTCATGGTGTATTGTGTGGTCTGTTGCGGTTCTCGTACCCAGGCACATTGTGTTACTGTCGCCGGGCCATATATGATTTAGTGCTTGCACGATCATTCGGATAAGTCGAAAAACAAGAAAAAAAAGAAAAAAAGTAGAGCCCCTTGGAAGTTTGCGGGTTTACTTACGGAGTAACTATCCGTGCTATGTTCTAAATCAAAAAATGTAGTGCAGTGTCTCTTTAGGTAGTTGAGTCGTCGGTGTCTCGGCAACTCCACCCAACTAAACAAGGCGGCGTCGCAAGCCCACGCAGGCTGGTGAGAGGTTTTTTGTAGGGCCAAGCTGAAGGCGGAGCAGCCAGTCACGATGATTTCAGATGTTTGCCAACAGATAATGCACATGGCCTCAACATGCCGCAAAGCCAAGCTGTTGTATCCCTCTTGTGCGCAGGTCTAATTTTTGTAACGGGCCAGGGTTCTAGCCAATAATAAGTAACTAAGATTTTAAAAGATATATAAGTATATAAAAATATACTACCTAGGTAGTTTATTATACTTAATAATAAAGTATCTTTAAGTATTTTTAAGTATTTTTAAGTATCATAAAAGAACTGGGTTGAATACATCAATTGGACCTGTGCACATTCAGAGGGATTGTGATGGCTTCACGTTCTCACTTCCTAGGCTCTAAGCAACCGTCAATAAGGCCATCAGTCCAACATGCAAGACCATGAATAGGAAGCCACACAGGCGTACCATGTGGCGGGCGGGTCGATGCCGGTTCGCCAGATTGGAGATCTCGGCATCAACATGGGACGATTTCTTATTTCACAATGTTTCCCCCGTGCAATGACGGTCAAGCTGCCTGGCATTAGGAATGCAGCAATCAGCGGTCAGCAAGGTCGGGGTCGTTCCAGATCCGAGTCCAGAAACTTCGCTGTGGCTGAGTGCAACGCAACATCTGTCGAATGACCAGCCCGAGGTGTCGTCACGACATGGCATCAGGGCCAGTGATTCGCTCGACACAAGGCATGGAGCAGGGTTCTTTGTTTTGCCGGGACGATCTGATATAAAATATGTTTGCCTTGTCTACAAACCCCCAGATGGCAGTTGGAGAGTGGGAGATATTGCTTTTAAAGTCGGGGCGTGGACCCTGCTAGTGTCAATGGAATCCCACCCAGAGTCTTGGCTTCGACAACGCGACAGTTGCGGGGAGGAAGTATTGGCTCCCAGGCTTTATTTGTTGTTTGTCGGCATCGTCGCCGAAGATGTGATTGAATCGTTGGAGAGGCTTGACGAGCGCTGGGCTTTGTGGCGGTCCATACGCAGAGTAGGTACAGCGCACGGAGTACTCCGTAGACGGGGTAACTACAAAGGCACAGTCAGTCATTCATGCACAATGAAACGGGTGGTGGTTGGCGTGGCGGCGTGGGCATGTGATGGTTTGGGGTCACGCAGGACGCAACCCCAAGGTGATGAAAATCGTCATGTAAAATGCGGTCACGGACTCGTAGCCAACGTTGGCTCGTGGCCACGCCTCTGCACAGCTTGCGGTCGTTGGTTGGATGCTCGTGGCCGTCTAACTGACTTCTGATGGGGGTAGCAACCGAAGCCGTGTTCAGGAAGGAGCCCTGACGGTCTTCCGGCGCCGGAGGGACATGTCAACGAGGCAAGGTCCAATCATTCGAGGTCAACGGGAGCGTGGCAAGCCGGGGGTGGTGCCCCGCTGACTAGCGACCTGGTGGATACATGCACGTCCGAGGAAAGCGCCGCCGTCCCCATGTACATACATATCGCAGTGGTGCCGGTGGCTTCGCATCTGGCCCACCAGCGCACCAGCCCAACGAAGAACTCGGCAAGTACGACTCCGTACGGCGTGACACGCAACAGGTCAACTGGTGCCTGCCCAAACGGCATTGTCGGTTTCGAGGGTTCCCATGTCCCGCTCCCGCAGCCTTCTCGACCCTGCGGCCTGCAGAGCCTCGATGCATGACTAGCCCGGCTTGTGCGTGTTTCGTACGTGCCTGTCCTCACTCACCTCTTTGACGGCCGTGTAAACTCTTCAAACTCTTCCCTTCCCTTCCCATCTCTGCTGCTCGACCAGTCGGCGACGGCACTGTCACTGTGCGAGCCCTGTTCCCTTCATTTCGTCGTTATGCTCTCACATATAGCTGGCCTATTTGCACTCTTGCCCTCGGTACTCGCAGTCTCGCACCACCCTCCACCTCGCCTACTCTGACCGTGCACTAAGGGTCCTTGACCTTGACTCCTTGATCGCTTGGCTTGTTCTCTGCCCTCACTGTCCGGCCGTATCAACGCCGGTGCGGCTTGCCCGTCACTTTCGTTGACATCCCCGATTTCTCTCGCTCTCTACCTCGTTACCATCGGACTTGAACGAGCCGCGGTGATTTTTTCCGAGACGTGCCGGGTTGACGATACGTGCTCGAAGCGAAGCCTTGTGACGCCCGCCCCCACCACGCCCAACTGTTGCCGCTGCCTCCGGTTCTCAGCGCAACCTGGAATCACAGCACGACAACCGTCTCGAAACCCGCCTTGTTTGCATGAATCTAATCATCTGCCCACATAGGAGGATACTGGCCCCCGCGTCTTGTGCGTAGGCCTCAGGAAGCCATGTACTGGCTGCGGCGCGGCAGCATTGTGCTGGCGCTATTGTTGGTGGCTTCTTTCATTGCCTGGTTCGTCCCGCGAGTCCTCGACCCAACGACGCATGGCCCAGCCAGACGAGCCCGCGATAGCCTTTGGGTGAGCAGCAGCCCCTACTGGATTGACCGTCAACTGTGTCGCTGGCTGAGTCTTTGCGGCCTGCATCACCTGCGCCGTGATCCCGCCTCGCTGCCGAACCTGGACGCTGTGTCCGTCGACAACGTTGACGACCAGGTGTGGAGCGAGCTTCGCAGGAGATCCGCTGAACCCCTGTCGTGGGAAGACAGAACATCCGACGAGTCCGGCGCTGCAACTGCCAAAAGACAGGACAAGAAGAGAAACACTTTCGAGAGGCGACGAATCCTCAAGGACATTCCCGACTACGTTCTCAAGCACGCACCCCTGGTACACCTGTACTCTGGCGAGCAGTTTTGGCCATCCGATATCCGCGAGCATGTGCGCCATATGGAAGTCGTCGTTGACGATGAGTTGGTCAACATCACCGATGACAAACTGACGCTAGACAATCTTCACCGCCTCAATAAGTTCGAAGGCGTTATCACTCTTCACAGCCTCGATGATGTCGAAACCCGGCCCACTTGGCTACACAGCCATGACAATACTCCTAGCCCCTTTGACGACGATGGAGATGGTCGTGGCCACAAGGGCGAGCATAGCAGTGGTGCACCTGCTGGAGGCGAACGCACAACTTGGTTCGATGTGGACAAGGATACTCCCTTGCATCGAATCTCCGACCCGCGGCTCCGCGGCTCCCAGCGCCGACTGCGATCCCGGTCCCGTGAGCCCCGCCTCCAACGCCGAGGACATAAACCCGACGCCAACGGCTATTCTCGAGCTCCCGCTGTCCTTGTTATCGTAGACAAGGGATCGGGCATCATCGATGCATTTTGGTTCTTCTTTTACTCGTACAACTTGGGGCAGACAGTTCTTGGTATCCGCTTCGGCAACCATGTCGGCGACTGGGAGCATTCCATGGTGCGGTTTCAAAATGGCGTTCCCAAAGGCATTTACTTTTCGGAACACGAGGGCGGCCAAGCCTACGCATGGGATGCCGTAGAGAAACGTGGTGATCGCCCCGTCATTTACTCGGCTGTTGGTTCACACGCCATGTATGCCACGCCTGGCGACCACCCCTATGTCCTGCCATTCAAGCTGCTCAAGGACGTCAGCGACAGAGGTCCACTCTGGGATCCAGCGCTGAACAATTACGCCTACCACTACAACTACAAATTGGAGAAGCACACCGAGATGGATGAGGAGTCTATCGAGGGTCACAAACGCACGCCGAGCCTTGTGCCCGCGTCCTCTAACCCCCATGCACCGACGGGGTGGTTCCATTATGACGGCTACTGGGGCGACCGCCTGTACACCTTGGCAGATATCCGGCAATGGCGCCTCTTTGGACAGTACCACTACGTTACTGGGCCCAGCGGGCCGAAGTACAAGCAACTTGACCGATCCAAGGTGTGCCAGAGACCCCAATGTCGGATTCTATACAAGCTTGATCCAAAGGGGACCTGGTACTAGTCATGATTCTCAGGCGCATAGACGAAAGCAAAAAAAGAAAAAAAAAAGAGGTCATCTCTGTTCATGTTTCATGAAGACATATTCCATCAATGGATATAAAAGGTGATGGCCGGCGGTGTTTGTACACCGAAACAAGATTTAGACGCGGAAGGGAAGCAATCTACAAGTACAAGCCTTAGAAGTATGGAGTTTTTTGGGGGGGGATTTTGTCGGAAATGTATACACCCATAAGTTGCGGTGTCGCGTGTCGATTATGGAGTTTGTTCATTATTCAGGGTTCGGATTGGGCTGTGCGTTGAATTGCATTAGACCGTAGTGGAGGGTGGCTGAACTTTGATACCCGGCGCTTCGGATTGGAACAGTTGAATACATGGTCATAGAGGGTGGAAATGAAATGATGGAAAGGCGTGTGAGCGACTGTGGCATGAGTGAGGACAACCAAATGGGCCCGACGCTCCCAGCAGCCCATGGCCTCGGCATTGGAAGAACAAGGAGCCTCAAGGCGAGCCGGGGACAAGGCGGAACATTTGAAGACTTTTCTGCAGCTGCCGTCCCGGAAGGTATGATGCCGTCGTGGATCGGCTTGCACTCTCGGCCTCGGCCCTGTCCTGCCGCCGACGCAGCGGGATGCAAAATGGGTGCAAGGAGGAGCGCATTTTCATGTGTACGTTGTTCCGTTTCGAGTGACGTCTGAAACAATTCCATGTTGGCTTGATCCGACTCTGCACGCTCTTCTATGATGACGCGAGGGCCACTTGGTGCCCACGTGTGTGCCCCTGCGCCGCTTGGAAGCTTTTCAATGACGCCTCTGCTCATCATCTACCACGCGTCCTCTAGTTCCAGTCGCGATATCCCAATGTTTTAGTTACCATGACTACCGTGGGGCTAAACATGGCGTGGCTATCGACCATTGATGCTCGCGGATGCTTTTATATAAGGCGGCTATGGAAAGACGAGAGTCTGTGGAAAAGCTGTTCATCATATGTCTCTCCATTCTTTTCAATACACCACACCATTCTGTCTTTTTGAACAACACACCATATCTTTGCACTCTTTGAACAAACCAAGCCGATTCCATCGTTTCAATACACCATACTATTCCATCTTGGGGAGAAAAAAAAAACCATATCCTTGCGCTCTCTTTGAACAAACCGAGCCCGTTCATTCCATCTTCTGTCTGTTCATGAAAAGAAAAGAGAGAGAGGAAAAATGAAGCCAACCGCTGTCCTCGTCGGCGTCTGCATCCCTGCTCTGGCCTATGCTATCAACTTGTTTAGCCCTGCTTTGTACAATGTCCGCCTTGGCTTCCGGTGGAAATTCATCGACGGCCCGGAGTCGGGCCTCAAAGACATCACGTTCCCCGTCAACATGGCCAAGACTTCCCGCGAGCAGGGCTACTACCTCTCGCAGCAGTTCAGCTTCCACGGCGTCCGGCGCCAGGGCCACATCGCCATCCAGCCGCGCCCCGACAACAGCAAGGGCCAGGCCATGCTCCGCGCCAACTTCACCTCGCACCAGGCCGGCACGGCCACCTGCCACCCGGCGTGCCAAGCCGGCCCTGGGCGCGGCGGCGCCGAGGGCAGCCGCGACGGCGTCACCTGCGCCATCGACGTGCCCGCCGACTACGCGCACACCTTCAACCTGACCGTCGAGAACGTCCGCGACGCCAACACCTGGCGCGGCCTCCTCGTCGACACCGTCACCCGCAAGACCCACGAGATTGGCGTCTGGACCCTGCCCACCGGTGCCGGCGACATCCAGCGCTCCCGGTTCGGCTTCGTCGAGTACATCCACCAGCCCGGGAGCCGGGGCGGCTGCGAGAACTACCCCAAGCTCGAGGCCACCGTTTACCACCCCTGGTCCAACTCGGCCGGCGCGGGGGAGCTCCACAACGTGGGTAGTATGGACCTGGGCTTGTGCGGTAAGAATATTTTCAAAAAAATAAAGGTCACGAATGGATTCACTGTCTACTACGGCCGGGGGTAGCTCTATCTATGCCTTGGTACATATGTGTGCCTCGATTGTTGCGGGGGAAAAAAGGGGGGGGGAGGGAGTTGCGTATCGTTTTGTGTATACTCGATAACTGCTCCGTATTATAATTTTTTTTTCACTTGACTACAGAGCGAAACAGTACTCCCCGTTAGTATTTTAATTTGCCGAAAATAGAGGACCCCTGTTAAACAATTATCTAGTATATATCCCTTTTGTGCCCCTTGCAGCGAATACATATGCCATGAGCCAGGGTGGCCAGGCCCTTGCAAAGGCTGAATTGAGCCACCCATTCTATATATTGTACGCCAGAAAAAAAACAAATTCGATGCTTACAATGCTCCCCTCATCAGACGCCGTGATGCGGTGTGATTGATGATTGCTGGTGGGCCGGGGCAGATGCCAAGACCGTCAAGAAGGGACGATCGGTTGCGGATGCCACGCGGCACGACCCGCAACGACCGACGCCGATGGTGGTGGAGACTCCGATATTATCGATTTATTGCAGAGCTCTCCACTACTACGGAGCCCGCCGGGCGACGCGGGAGATGCAAATACGAGATGCAAAATGACGGCCCATGGTACGGCCCATCCCATCTCCTCATTCCCGAACCCGCCTGCACGTCGTCTACAAACCGCGTGGCATAAGTGATAAATTTCTGAGTATATACAACACAAGATGAGTGGTATCTGATCTGTAATAAATATCCCAAAGTCCAAGCTCCCAAGTATCAAGTTCAGCATCTACATGTCCAGATTCATCGCCCGTCCATAACGCCAGACATATTCCCATTCAAAACGTATTCAAATATCTGACATTCTTCATTGTTCCTCGTCCTCGTGGATTGTAAAGCCCATTTCATCGCCGGGCCACGCTCGCTGCGTGCTGGGGTACTCGGACGGCTGACTGCTGCCCTCGCTGTCTCCCTGGGGGTCGTCAGGGTCCACGTTTTCCCCGTTGGAAGAGCCCTCCTGATCTTCGATGCCGGGCCACGGCTCGTCCTCAGGTAGCTGCTCTGCATGTCCTGGCTTAATCGAAGGCCGGGTCATGTCTTCACTGCTGGAGATACTCTCTTGGCCGTCGTGGTATGACTCCTCGCCGCTGTCGTAGATTTCTACTTCAAACCGCTCGTCTGTTGGGTATTCCATGGCCACGTGGGATACTGCGCTACGGGCGACACTGCCTCCTCGTATGGGGCGCAACTCCTGTAGAGGCGCATTGCTGAAGGGCGTGGCATAGGCGGGCGGCGTCATACCACGGGTAACTTGGCGGTCGTTGATGGCAGACGGCATCGGACTGGGAGACGCGGTCCACCGCGGCGTGTGGTGCAGGTAACTCGGGGAGCGGGTGCTGCGTCTTTTCTGGATGCCTTGGTGTGAGCCGCGGCCGAAGGGGGACGAGTGCCTGGATGGTTGCACACCGTGGGAGACGATGCTGCGACGACTGGCGGCGCTTGGGGTCGGTTGGGCTGTTAGGGGGGCCGAGGCCGTGCGGATGTGAGGTAGTCGCGGGGCGGGACGGCGTCCAGAGGAGAGCATCGGAGACGGATGGCGGATGGCAGCGGGGCTGACTGAGCGCCATGGTTGTTCGAGCGAAACGAGTGCTGGCGAGACAGTGTGCTGGCGGCGTTGGCGCATGTTCAGCGACGTCGGGATGCTGGGGGCCTCGTCGAGTTGTTCGTTCCACAGCCAGCAGTGCTCCATGGCGTCAGCTTCCTTGACTTGTTGGGATTCCGACACGTCTGGTGAGACACGGTCCATCTCACGGACTCGTTGCCACGCACAGCCGGACTCGTATGCCTCATAGTCTTGTATGTAGGCGTCTGGGTGGGTGATGAAGAGTCGAGGTTCGGCAGACTTCATGGCTACCGAGTGTAGGAAGCCGACGTCCCATAATGTAGGAGTCAGCATTTCGGCGGCGCTGAGGAATCGAAGCCGTGATTCTTTGCGGACTTTGCGAAGGGGTGCCCATGATTCCTGGAGTCCAAGGTACCTTGAGAGACGTGGGTCAGTAGACTGGCGTCGGGGCGTAGTGCCCATGGTTCGAAAGACTGAACCAAATGCCTCGTGGATGCCGGCTTGGACGCTTCTGGCATCGGGGCCGTAGAAGGACACGGTTTGTATCAGACCACGGCTCCGTAGCCTTTTGTCCTGGGTGCTTTTATCACCACAGGCCCTGGGGTAAAGCCACTCCGCGTCGTGGTCGGAAACAGTCCAGTCGCCGCCAAACGGTGATTGAGACCGCAACGTTGCGCTGCTGAGCGTCATGGGGATTTGCGTCCAGTCGTCATTGCTGATGCTGGCATCGTTTTTGAACTGCGAGAGTTCTTGCCAGAGTCTTTTCAGTGGAAATGGCAAAAAGACCACCTCGATTGTCCATGCGTGGCCGTGTGATGGGAGAAACGACTGAAGGTGAGTGACTTGGGCTCGCAGGCTGTCGATCTGAGACATAATTTCTTCTGGGTTTGGCAGGCTGGCAGAGCCTGCAGCCGTCGAGAAGACACTTTTAACACCATCGTCTTCTCCGTCGGCTTGTTTGTTGGTCAAGCCTGCAACATCCATGACCTTCTCTACGCCCTCCATCCTCTGCTCTAGTTCAGTTACACGTAAATCCATATGGTCATGCAAATCGACGCATTCTTCATGCCCATTTGCAGAGAACGAAACAGTCTCCAGGCGGTCCAGACGTTGTTCATGACCACTCACTACGTCTGACAGGTTTTGAAGAGTCTCTCGGGAAATTCTATGGGCTGCTGCAGTAGCTCGAGGTTCAAGTTGAGTAGCAGTGTCGGGCTGTGATGTTGCCAGTCCTTGTATATTACGGTCAACAAATACGAAGTCATCGTTTGATGTGGCAGGGTCTGCAGGCGCAGCACTTGGAAGATTTTTATCAACTTTTGATGGTGGTGGTTGTTGTTGTTGCCGCGGTGAGCGGGGTCCAGGGGGAGTTACATCAAGTGTACCAAGACCTTTCCCAGCAAATGGTCTCTGGTACTTGGCCTGAATAGAAGAGGTGGTGGAACCAGTCTGAGAGGCCATCAGAAACTGGGACGGAATAGGGGGCAACGCCATAGGGTCGGAGGGTGGTCTTGGACACTGCGACGGCTGTTGAAGATATTCCTCCCATGCCAACGTATCCGGCATGGAGCCTAGAGGATGAGGACTGGCCTCTTGCTTCGAAGTGTCCTCAAACTCATGAACAAAGGAAAGAGGAATGCCAGGACTAAAGGCAGCGAAATCAAATCCGGGTACGGTAGAAACGCCTTGCATAGATGCATCCACGACGGGGCTCAGTGGTTCGCGTCCGGTGCGGGGTCTCTCATTTTCTTGTCCAAGGGGCGCGAAACCAGTTTGTTGCGGCAATTGCTGTTGTTGCTGCTGTGCGTCATCACGAGATCGTTCATCGTGATAGCACGCGTGATGGGCGCACATACACCATCCAGACTGGCCAGCAACAGGATTCCCCATCGCCTGGCGAGGCCAGAAACGACGGCATCCACATTTTGCTCCGGTGGCCCCAGGCGTCAGGTCAACAAAATTGCAAGATCCATTAGGCAGGCTCGGAGAAGGCGGCGGCAACGAGGTAGCAGCATCAGTATATATATCGAATGGACTCGCGCCTGGGTTTGAGGGATTTGGGAGGTTGGCGGCCATTGGATCGCGGGAGAAGCGTATTTGATGAGACACGATTCGACACGATAACAGAATTCGAAGAACGGCTCGCGCGAAGCTCGGTCAGGTTGTCGTGGCCAGGCGGCTTACGCTGGCCCCGGCAGGGTCGCTCGCAAGACGCAATGGTCTAGTTCATTGCACTGGAGACAGGGTGGAAATGGAGTCAGCTCAAGAAAAGAATGGTGATTCCCAACAGGCACGAGGTAGATTCGGACGGCAGGAGATAAGGCGAGGTGGGACGAACAAGACGGGTGGTGGTTGCTATCCCGATTGACTGTCGCGTCGAGCTTCTGGCGCTGAGGTCGGACCGAGTGGCATGAGAGGCCCTTTAAGTAGTTGAGCAGGACGAGGACGGGACGAGAATTATATAGCGCATTCGGAGCAGAAATCGGGCGCAAGATGCCACCGGCTGGGCAACGAAAGAAATATAACGGCAGCGGAGCCAAGGCCGTCACGCAGCTGGAGGTCGCAGGGCCAGATGAGGCGGAGGGATGGGAGAGAAAGCAGGACTTTCAGGACGTCGAGGGTGGACATTGGGGTGGTGGAGAAAGACGACCGACAGCAGCATTGCAGCAGCTCTTGTGCATTTCGGGACACGCATCACACCCCCCCAGGACCCCCAAAGCTCGCTCAAAAAAGGCGAGGAAGGCTTTGCTGCCTTGTCGACCTGCATGGCGTGGCTCAAAACAGCCAATGTCTGCTTTGCCCAGCTGACGGGCGTTGGCGTTGATGTTACCATCCAATCCCACAGACAGGTTTGGAGACGTGTGGTTCAACGCCGGCATCGTCAGCCACCAAAGCTCAACGGCATCAAGCGTCGACTCACTCAGATCCACAATTGCGTCTTGCTTTCGAGTCACAGCTGCATACCTAGGTACGTTAAAGCTGCCCCGGCTCAAGGACGATGGGTGCTTAGAACCATAAAGAGCCGAGCCTGGATGGATTGGACGGCCTTGGCTTGCCTGGCACCTTGAATGGCGCCGAGCATTTCACCACCGCGCCTATCCAGGTATTTTTGAGAGCACAAGCTTAAGCCTACCCCGCCAAGTCGCGCGCGCTTTACGCCCTCACGTTCTCTGAAAAGTACATGGACGGATGCGCCCCACTGTCGCGCCGTCCCGCCAATGGCGGCGCCTGGGAACCCGTTCCGGAAGCTGGTCCACTAAAAAGTAGTGGCATCGGGACATCTGGATCAATAAGGGACTGACTGGGACATTCAGAATGCAGCCCTCAAGCGACCATTGTTTGGTCTTGCAGTGGTCAAGTTCTAGTATCCGATGCTGCTTTGGAACCTCACGGCCATCTTGCAGGCATTCGGCACTCAACCACTCCAGCTGTGCGGACAGGCCGGTCCGGCGCCGGGTTATGTGTCCGGGGCACTTTGTTCAAGTACCAGACGCGACACACACATTCTGTGCGTTTCTGCAGATGCATCATCTGATCTGAGAGCCCAGAGGCATTGGCCATCTTGCGTACCCGAGTGACTTTCTGCGCTCGAGTACGTAGACTCTCCTGGTACGAGAGAGGGGTCAACGCGCAACCTCTGACTCAACGGGCGTTGCGAAGATAGAGGCCTCAGGAATTGAATGTCGACTACTTTACTTTACGTATTGTACTCGGTACGGCGCACACCACTCGCACGCAGAGCAGCTGGATGGTGTCAATCTGCAAGGAACCAGGACACACATCACATCAAGTGGTGGCCTCGTCAGCACCGCCAATTGGCACTTGCAGCCCATCGCGCCATCGACCGGCAGTCAAGATCCAGGACGTGGGAGATTCGTCCGCCCATGCATCGGGAACCATCTTGTGGGCGACACGGCTCCGCAACAAACACGCCTAGTCGGGCGACCAATGGATTGGCTGGCGGCCAAGGCCCAATGGCACAAATCAAAAATTCATACATCCTCAACTCCATCAGGTATTATATCTCTGTGTCGATACCATGGCGCCATGTGTGGAATGCGCCAGACCTTGTCCGCATCCACTCGCTCGTTCACGCACACACGCCCATAACTCACCTTGGGTCGTGAACGGGTGACAAGTGCTGCTGTCCTGGAAAAGGCCGACACCCTGATATGGGGCTGCAGCTGCCCCGGAGTTGTTCCTGCGACGTCCTCAATCCAACCGCTCGCCGGGACTTGGTTTCGAGTTTCCTGGGGCCATAGAGCTCGAAACACACTCTATTGACGATATATACTTTTGAGCATGGCGAGGTTCCTCCCCACATATGCCCAACCAGTTACTCCAAACATCCATTATTAAAACCCATCACAACCAATGCGCGCCTCCCAGTTAAGTTGGCCATTATACAAACGCCCGTATGATCCTTTGCATCCACCATATCACCTAGCGTTGTGCAAAGAGTCTGGTTGCGTATGCCCGCCCCACGGGCCGCCGTTGGCGAACATTGAAGATGGGTGACGAGGTCAGGCAGGCTTGCCGCGTCCCCACAGATCATTGATGGTTGCGCCCCTGCCGACGACCGCTAACCACGAGCCAATCAGGTGTATAGGAGCCGATACACTTCTTGCTCCAACTCGAACCTCGGGGCAGTATTTCTACGACATGGCGAAATATTACCTTGATCAGACCGCGTAGTCCCTTGCGCGATAAGCGACAGCAATATACCTTGTCTCGCGTACATGTCCCGGCTGCCGTACAGCCGGTGGTTCACGGGCATCATCGGCGGCCCAATGCAGGAACTCCAGAGGCAGCGGATGTTGTTCCGGGCGCGGAACCAGGGATAGTTCTTCTTTGCCGCCAACTAGTTAGCTTTTTCCCTCTATGTATAAAATTACATGTATGTAGTTGATGGTTTTCCTTCTTGTCCAATTGCCCATCGCTCCCACGCCCATGGCAACGTACCGTCTCGATAGCTGGTGGTTCGCGCTCCTTGATAGCGGCTCTTATACCACCGCCAGATTACAGCCACGGCTGGCGGGAGCGCAACTACCAGTGCAACAATGGCAACAGTTGTCTCTGGACTTAGCATAGCTCATTCCTGGGCGATGTTCCCCAGCCACTTAATAGGTGGTTGTCGTCGTCGTAGCCAGCGTTAAAGCGATGTCGTGCAACGCAGGCTCCTTTAATAGGATTGATAGACCACAATTGGCGGATAAGGGTAGCTTGGAAATTATCGTGTCTGACTGAAGAACAAGCTGTGTGACAAAGACGACAATGATGGAGGAGGAGAATAAGAAGAGGAGGAGAGGAAGAAGAAGGAGAAGGAGAAGGCCGAGGACGAGGAAAAGGACGAAGGAACAAGAACGTGGTTGTAAATGAAGATGTGCCGATAAATTGGGATTGTGTGAAATAGTGGGCCCGTGCGGAAACGTCACGGCAGATAGTATTGCGGTTTTGATGTCTTTGCCTCCGCATTTGGCGGAAATGAGGCGACATGACACCAGCAACCCCAGTGAAGCCCATCCATCAGGCTGACAGCGCAGCCAATAGCAATACGGAGTACTAGTGGCCTGCAGTCTGTTCGCTTAACTCCCCCAACAAGCATCTACACCGTCCTCGAACCAGTCACAATGATGGTGGCAGAGGAGCCTGCGTGATATCTTACTTCGTCAGGTTGTAGAGGAGCCCAGGCTGAATTTGAGTTGCACATTTCCAGCGAACCAAGTTGTGATGAATGTCATACATGCAGTGCAGGCATCGGACCCTGACAAGGTGGTCAGATGGCCCGTCAACCGGCAGCAGCAGCGCCTTCTTCCTCTTCTAGGCCTGCTAAGAAACGTGACCGCCGGCCGCTTTACATCAACGTGTATATTCAGTGCCTAAATATATGGTTCGGGGTAGTGTATATGTTGTTTCTCTACTTATGCTTGTCCCGGCCATCCAAAACTTCAATCCAAATAGGAAAAGATCAAAAACTCCGTTAACATCTGTTCGTTAGATACTGTACAAAGTTTCAGTCCATAGAGCGTATGAACTCCGGTATGCAGCGTCGTGATTAGACTACACTTCACCCCAGCTTCCCATTGGGCCGTTGGAGGCAATGACCGACCCAGTGCCGAGAGAGCCACCGATATCCCAATAGTGCCTTGATGAACAGCTACTTCTCCGAGCCGACCGCCTAGTACTTTGGCTGGCGCAGCTGCTGTGGTGGCGCAAGACCACTGGGCTGTTGGGTGCTACGGCCTTGAACGACCGACGCTCTACCTGCCGCGTTCGAGCGATGAGAGGATGGTGTTGACGAACGCGGGCCACCTTGGCTGCGGTGTCCTGTTGAGTCGGTGTACCGTGATGTGACGTGCCAACAGTAGGGGAGTTGCCAGAGCGAGACGCAAAACGTGAAACAAGGTAGCGGAATACCAGCTTGATATCCAGACTCTTCTCCCACTCCTCTTTGGTAAAATCGGTGTCAGTCATGTCAATATCATTTCCAGAGCCATCACTCTTCTGCCTCCGACCTGGGATTCCAATTGGTTGCGAATGTTGGTGCATAGTAGGCTGGAATTCTGGAACAGATGGCTGGCTGCGTCTCTCGAGTTCTGTTACTGGACCAGTGATGCCAACATCGCTAGATTCTGGAATGACTGGGAGACCAGCATACGGAAGAGGTAAGTGCTGCATCCTAGAATAGGTAGAAAATGCGCCAGGATGTGGTGATAGTTGGTTAACAAGCAGACCAAGCTCCCTAGATAGCCTTTCCAGAATTCGGATTTGCCATGAGGGCTCGTCCGAGGTAGTCAAAATTGGACGATTACTCGGTTGGGAGGCTCGCGGAGTAGATGAAAGTGCCTCCTCGTCAGGCAGTTCCTCACCTAAGAGAATCGACAGCATAGTGTCGTCGATGCCTAGGATATCTTTGACTACCGTACGTGTTATGCGCGCTAAAAAGCCCTCTTGCTCCGTGTGGGGCTGGAATGCCTCTTCATCATGCCATGTTAGATTATCTGTTTCAGCATCCGTATTGCGCCGTGAACGGTGCATAGATGCCAATGACTTGCGTTGTCGTCTCGTTTCTCGTTGAACTTCGTTAAGTAAGACCCGGCTATGCTCCAGGCGCCATGCCTCGATTCGCTGTCTTTTATCCTCTTCTTGGGTCTGAACCTCGTCCAGATCAATATGGGTATTGTCAAAGCTGTCCAGTCTCCGGCGAAACTTGCGAGGATTGAACCTCTCGAACTGATATATCTGGTCCTGTGCATCAGCACCCAGGACAGGCCGATCAAAGCGGAACGAGCCTAGACCATCATGAGAGGGAAAGACTGGAGTAGCATTGTGGCTACCTCGTGGTGACAGAGTATTCAGACCAGGTACGGAGCGAAATTCGGGGAGGTGACTGTCTAGGCTATCGAGCTCAGCGTCGTCGTCGTCATCAACAGCTGACAAAACGGAAGTCGATTGTCTAGCGTGAGATGGACCTTCAGATCTCGCCACGGTATGCAAGCTTCCAACATCACTCAGCCGTGATCGTCCAGGCGTCTCTACAGAGTGTTCTGACTCTGTGAGATATGATGAAGTTGTGACTTCAGTAGGGGGTGAGAACAGCACCCATGCCTGTGACTCATCTAGTCCTTGTTCAGATGTCGACGGTACAACGGCAGGACTCTGGTCTTGGACAGCTGCCGGGCGAGCTGCCCGCTGCACAGGTTGGCGAGTCGGTTGCTGAAAGGCCATGGTGATGATGCCGCCTTGTTCCTGGGACGATGCAGAGGGTGGGCGGGTAGATAGGTGTTGGAATGGATGATGCGATAAGAGCGTTATCTGTCGAGCTGCAGCTAGATGGCTCCGGGTTCGGCACAGTGGGACGCGGCGAGCGTGGGCACTGGAGTCGAGTATTTGGAGACGGTGGTACGCGGGTAGGGCGGAGCAGAGAGCGAGCACCTCGAGCAGAGGATACTCCTCAAAGAGTTAGGGGCGCGGATAGGCAAGCTGCAGTGTCGAAAAATTGGAAAGCGAGCGCAGTAGATGGGTTAAGAGGCTGAACAAAGTCGAAGATGGATGTGAGAGGGAAGCCAACATGATAAGCAGGCCAGGAGGTGGGAGTGATGACGGCGCAATGCGATACGGTGAGGCCAGCTTAGTAGAACCGGACCGAACAACAGCCCACTTCCACTGGTGCTCAGGGATAAGGTATCCCAAATTTCAGTTTGTACTCCGTGTTTCCTCAAGTGCGCAGGTGAGTCGTCTTGACTCGAGCCGGGGTAGGCGTCGCGTGGGAGGGGCGCTCCTGCCTTCCATTTGCTCCTCCCAAAGCCCCATTGCTTTGTTGAGACGGCCTGGTCATTTACGGCACATTTGCGATGTATCATCTGTCCTGCAAGGGTGATGCCAGCTGCCGGCCTGCACCACACCAGACTCGTTAAGGTGAATTGTCGAGTTGAGTTGCGCTTGGGAGGCGTCGTTGGCATTATTTACTCGCGCGCTGCTACGTACAAGTAGAATAAGGTAGCCAATAGTTGGATGATTGAGTTCCAGTATCACTGTAGTACATGATTGCGTCCTGAGCATGAGTACGTACTCCGTACTTTACGCAGGCTGACAGGCTGGCAGAGAGGAGACGAGTGGAGCACACCTTCTAAAGTGGTGGCTCGCGTGCTCGGAGGCACAGGATGCCGCGAATTGCTCGGCGGGCTTACACTTTTTGCCAGGTGCGCTCACGCCCTATCTAGTACCTGGTTATTAGGTATTATATTATAATCCATTAATATATATTTTACGGTAAGTGAATACATTTTATTATGAAGTATTTGAAGTATATATAAGAGTAGTTTCAGTACCAGACAGCGAATAGTGGGGCGATAAGCGCACCTAGCAAGAAGAGTGAGCCGCCGCGCTACAGCCAACGTGGTCGTATGTACCGAGTATTCTCGTCCCATGCCATTCTTCGTTATCGCATTGTTGGCCACAGGGCCACTATGTCCCCGTTGATCCCGCTTCCAGCAGCTCGGTTCTCAGCTGTTGAGCACAAGACGGCCAGAAAATGACGTAGTTGTTGATAGCCAGCCTTGCACGATATTGTACTTGACACTTTTTGCTCCGTACATGCATGTCAGTCCGTGGCAGCACAACCAAAACCAGAACAGGGTCCTGTCTTCGTCTCTTTTCTCGACCAAGTGACGCCATCAGTTGAAGGCTCCTAGTAGTATGCGTTGTTCCCCGCTTGCTTGTCGCGTGGCCCAAATCATTAACCCGGCATCCTCGCCATGGCCTCGGCTGGCATCCATTTCCACAGGGCCCGTCTGGTAAATTGGTCCCGACTCCCTCCCCTACAAAGTAACTTGCAAGATGTGCTGGAGATGGGGCCATCGGGTAAGGCATACTAGAGACTGAAAACAACAAATATGGTGAACGCCTTTACCATCCTATTCTCCTATTCTAGCAAGCGTACTAGCTACATCTGTTGTCACGCAACCACTCCGTCCTCTTGGCATACATACAGAGCCCGGCATTATTATGCCTACTTGGGCCACATGGAATCTGGATTGATTGAAACACGCGTCCGTGGCGTCCCAATCACCATGATCTGACGCAGCGTGGTAGAGTGGAGGGACGGGCAGCAAGCCTGTTGGGCTGGATGAAACGCGCCGGCAGCCATGACGTTCCCAAGCGCTCACGACTCAAGACAGCCCCGACTTAGGAACAATAGACGGTGAAAACTGCGAGCTTGAAAGTTGATGTTATTCTACAAAAAAAATAACGCATCTAGGCGGTGGAGTCGGCTCGCTTTTCTGATTGTGACATGGTGGTCATGTCCATTGCTGGAGATCTACCTCGACAGTTTCAAAGGTCACGCGGGCTTTCGCAGCCGACGTCCGATGACTAGCCTCGCACCGGTTCGGGCGACCGAGTAGATGAGATTGATTGATATGGCAAGCCGTGGTACTCCGTAGGCTAGTACGCATCAGCAAGTAGATTGACGAGCAAGATGGCTCGATAATCGATATCAACTGGCAGCACATTGTATACGCAAAGCCTCAATCTTCTAGGCACTATTCATCACGGTTCAGGCTGTGATACAATCGTTGGCAATTCTCCTTGAGTCTGATTCGCAAAGCGTTGCGCCATGAGCCTATTTATCTTCCCCATCAGATCAAGGCTACAATGTTTTGTCATACGCACGTATAATTCATATCTGGGCATGGTTATGTGCGTCCGAAGACGCGGTTAACAAGCCTACACATCACTCATACCACACATAACGCATAGTGAGAAATTTGTGACGAATGCACTATTCTTTGATTTGCCAATTGCGACCGCCTGTCTTAAGAGGTCCCTATCTGACATGCCACTATGACGCCATCCTTAACCCATATGAACCAACAAACACTTTAAGCGGTGAAAGCATCGGGGAAGCGGCGCATGTTCTGCTCCAAAGAACCGCGGTTGCTAAGGAACTGAACGTAAGCACCATCGACCTTAACACGGCCAGCAGCCTTGCGCTCGAGGTACTCGTCGCGGCGAAGGGGAGTGAAGCCCCAGTTCTTGGAGATAATAATCTTCTGGCGACCTGGGAACTTGTACTGCGATCGTCGCAGAGCCTCAAGAGCGAGGTGACGGTCTGTTTAAAGAAGAAGAAAAGCAATTAGTAATGTGGCAAAACTTGGCAATGAGTCACGGATTCAAAGACTTACTGGAGTCACGAGTGCGGACGCTCATGATGATCTGACCAATGTTGACACGGGCAACAGTGCCGTTGGGCTTGCCCCAGGCACCACGCATACCGGTCTGCAATCTATCGGCACCGGCGCAAGACAACATCTTGTTGATACGGACGACGTGGAAGGGGTGGGCGCGGACACGCAGGTGGAAACCTTCCTTGCCGCTGTGCTTGACGAGGTACTTGTTGGCGCAGATACGGGCGGCCTCGAGGGCCTCAGAGCTCAGCTGCTCATACTCGTTGGAGACAAGGTGGATGCACAGGGGGAAGTCGTCGACATTGGCACGCTTGCGGCCCAGATCGAAGATCTTGATCTTGGGGTCGGGTACACCACGGTTGAACCGGGACTTGGGGAACGGCTAAAGCAGAACATTGAGTTAGCAACTTGCTTCTGCTTATTATGATTTTTTGCAGCGATTATGGTTGTAGAAAAAACTTGGCGAGGCGTGGATTTGCCCAAAATCTCCCTTCATGACGCCAGAGAGAAGTAGGAAATCCTGGGATCCAGCATCGCAAAATTTCGTTCCGCAAGTCGAGAAGAAAATCGGCGGCAACGTAGGAAATTCGAAGATAGAATATCTCACCTTGTTCTTGCAGTATCGGTAGCAACGAGCAGGACGACGAGCCATCTTGTCGGATTTTGCTGGTGTTGTCCTAAAGTTGGTGATGTGTTTTGAGCAAGATCAGTCCAGACCGGGGGTGAACCAGTAGTACTGCCACTCGTTCTCGAAATACGCACTACTTTGATTTCAAAGCAGCCTCTTTGTAAGCCAAAATGGTGCATCTCGCTTAAACCTCGGGTCTTTAGGGCTGGGAACAGCACGTTAGTGGATTGTGATTGGTTGGTGTAATGCAAGCGGACCCGCCGAATCTTTTTCCACGAAACTGCAGGTAAAATCGCGCCTCCAGACCTTCGAATGGACACCATCCTACTCTCCATCACCAACAATTCGGCTGCAGACTTTGGAAACAAGCTGCCTTTCATTTCCCTGGCTTTGTCCTTTTTATTACGATAAACCATTTCATCCAGGATTTGGAAAGAAGAGAGCCGAATCACGTCAAGATGGCCCCTCAAAAGAAGAGCAAGAAGGATGCCAACAGCATCAACTCAAAACTAGCCCTCGTCTTGAAGTCCGGAAAGGGTACGAATTTCAAGACTCAACCTTCACCGTTGGGATAGACTGCTAACCAGATTTTCAATCAATCAGTCACGTTGGGATATAAGTCAACGTTGAAATCGTTGCGATCCGGCAAGGCCAAGCTGATCATCATTGCTGGCAACACTCCTCCTCTCCGCAAGAGTGAGCTCGAGTACTACTCCATGCTGTCCAAGGCTCCTATCCACCATTTTTCCGGAAACAATGTAAGTACAGAACTCGTTGTATGAATCGAACCAATCTATTGGTGATCGATTTACTCTCGATGTGAAGTTTGCGACGACTTGTCATCTTGTTTCGAGAGGCAAAGTCTCTGCTAAGTGAGAAGATTGTTTCTTGCGCTCTACCCAGAGAAAAAGTCTTTCGTCTAGACTTTGGAGGGTTCACCTTGGCTTACATAATCTCTTTTCTTTTACAGATTGAGCTCGGCACTGCTTGCGGTAAGCTCTTCCGCTGCTCTACCATGGCCATCCTCGACGCTGGTGACTCCGATATCCTCAGCGACCAGCAGGCTTAAGCCACCACTTGGTGTACAATTTTTCATGAAAAAACGGCGTTTCGGGGTAGAAATTGGTTTCGGCAATTTTTGAGGATATATCAAGCAATGTGATGCGATAATGAGAACCCTTGATCGAGGGGCCCAACAGGCTATTGGCCCGTGTGGGGTACGCCTCACTAGTATCCTGCTGCTTTTGCAGTGTTCAAAGCAGCAGATACTGGGAACAGTCACCTCAATATATCAATATAACTGATGACCTTTTTACTCCTGCCACTACCGTATCCAATTCATCCTTGCTGTGACACTGTGACGTTGATTGAACGACTGTGCGCAATTTCGATTTATGTACGGGGTCACCGCTCCGCGAACCTGTAAACAGTGCCCTGGTGCAACGTACCAGTGCTAGGCGCGGCTGTGGGCTCAAGCAAGTGTTGCGTAGGACATGTATGTATGAAGCGCGGTCTTGGCGAAGTATACTAATAATATATGTCCATCGGTTTATGTGGTTTCGTTGAAATCAATACTTGAACCAAGTCGGGACCTTTCTGCACACTGGGGAGCAGAACATTGCTTGAAAATATATCATTCTGTAGCCGTAGACATGGAAAGATTGCATGTTGGCGGGTGTCCTCTACTGACTGGATAATCTTGGCAGAGACAGTTGTTGGCCATGGCGGCCTTGACTCCCATCAAACGTGATGCCAAGGGGCCTGAAGATGATCCAAAGGCCGAAGCGGTGTATGTATAGTATTCTGCATACAATGTATCCCGTACCCACGACGAGCACGAGCGGGTATTACCACACTTCATGCGGCATGTCAAGGCATATTGTGCAGGTACTTGTAGAAAATGGCTACGGAGTAGTTATTATGTGCAAATACATGACACCTCATCCTCTGTAATTTGCCAAGTGGAGGTATGGGACTTTGGATCTGCATGAACAGCATCGGGAATTTCCTCTCCAACAAGCCCCCAAAGCAAGAGGAACCAAAGGGTTGGAGGGTGGCAGCCGGGCAACGCTAGCTGGTTTCGGGTGTGTTCCCCAGTTTCTGGGCGTGGTGGTGTTGTTTCACAATCAATGCCAAAACAGACGCAGTTATCGTTGCAACGTGGTCGTTGCGAGCCAGTAGCGCGTGAGTACAATGGCATGGAAGGGTGGCTCGTATTGGCATTCCTGGCGATGACGGCACAAAGATTGGGCGAGGACACAGCAGCCATGCCGCGGCCATACTGCATATGCTCAAGCGTTGATTCTAAAATTGCACCGAGGTGGCGACAAGTAAGAAGGATGGAGAAGTTGGCTGGTGATGGATGGACCGAGAGCTAGCGAAGGCTGACGGTGGCTTTTGCCTGACATCGGACATCGGACTGGATGGAGCCATCTGAAAATTCCACGGCCTCATGCACGTGCAGTTTGTTGTTGTTGTCGTTGTCGTTGTCGGTGGTTGCTGACAGCTATTTCGCGACACCGCTCTCTCTCTCTCTTTGTCACGGAGGAACTTGGCTCTCGTCCATCAACCTCTCCAGGCAGTATTTGTATTGTTCATGCCCGCGTCCAGTCAGGACTACAAAGCAGTACATGTGCTCGGTACAACCAGACATTTGACAACACATCGTCCATGTAACGAGTGGAGCCTGTTGTCTGAAAGGGGAACGGAACAAGACCCTTTGAACTGACAAGGAGGTGCCAGGCGCTGTTGCTCGTCAACGTTGGAACCCTGCAGCGCCAGACGAGTCTGGTTGTCCGGTTTCCAATTTGCGCTGAGCACGTCCCCCGCCGGAAGCCTCAAGGCCAACTGCTACATGTAATATTCTAGCCAGCACACCAGACATGCTTACCACAGCAACCATCTGACACCCCCGGATAGACAATACACCCGTGGCATCACGCTCGTCCCATCATCTAGCTCCTTTCTTTAATCTTTCCCCCCCTACAACACATTTATACATACGTCCGCTCCTTTCCGCTTACCGCCACCTCACAGCTTGACGACATGTCGGCTGCATCCACCAAGAAGCCCCCTTCCGGCGGTGTGGGCCGAGTATCTGCTACAGAAGCAGGCACCACATCGCCAGGAGCTTCGCCCTCACGAACCACCGCCCCAAGATCGTCGACTCCCACGGGACACGTTCGTACGAGATCGGTTCGAAGTGGCCCTCCTGTTTCTGCTCGCGCCGCAGTCCGCAGAGACTCTGCCGATGCTCGAGCGGAGGCCGCCTCTGCCCTCGAGGACCTCCAACAGCGCCTTGAGAAGGAGGAAAAGCTCTCGGAGCAGTACAAGAAACAGTCCGAGGTGCTTCAATCGAAGCTTGACGAGGCGCTTAGAGATGCCGTCAAGTCGGAAGAGAAGCTTCACGAATATGAAGAACAGCACGAGGTTATTGTGAACGACATGAAGGAGGCCAAGCGCGAGAAGCGGGAGATGGAGACCATCTACGAAGCCGAGCGAAGCGCCATTCTCAAGGAAAAGGAGGAGTTGGCAAATAGAGAAGAAGAAATGCAGACTGTGATCCAACGGTTAAAGGACAGCCTGGCGCAGAGGAATAATTCCGATGATGATGGCCGGCCATCAAGGCAAGGTAAGGAAGAACTGCCTTGACAAGTTGACACCATAGCCCTGCATCGCCTTCTCCTGTTACACAGGTGCGCTAACCCTGTGTGTCCTATTTGCTAGGCAACTCATCGCCGTCCCTGGACGGTAGCAGCTTTGCGCCACCCTCCTCTCTGCAACGGAGTGATTCTCGAAACACCTCAAAGCTCATACTTCAAAAGGACAAGTTGATCGAGTCCCTGCGATTAGAGCTTGCTGAGTCACAAATCAAGCTGGTCGAGTCGGAGAACCAGGGAGGCGGCAGGCTTCAAGAGGTCGAGCGCCTGCTCATGGAAGCTCGCATGGCCAACGCCCGCCTCATGGAGGACAACGAGAGCTACCAACTCCTGCTTCAGGAAAGGACACTCAAGGGCGACTTTGGCCAGACCGACTTCAGCTACATGAGCGCCGGTACCAACCAAGACGCGCTCAATGCCCTGGAAGGCAAAACCGGCGGGTCCAGTCTGGCAGATGAGCTATCCGATGCTACTGAGGCCGAAAGCGAGGCCTACCGCCGACTAGAATCCGATCTCAAATCAATGAGGGAGCAAAACAAGGCGCTCACGCTGTATATTAACAAGATCATTGAGCGCTTGCTGCAGCATCAGGACTTTGAGTCCATCCTGGACACGTCTGGGGAGGTCAAGACAGGTCCAATAGATATTAACAAGGACCTTCCTGCACCGCCATCCGGTGAGAAGCAGGCAAATGGTGCCGCTGCACTGCTGCAGCGAGCCAAGTCTATTGCCGTTGGTACTGGAAAGCCAAAGCCAAGGCCTCTATCGTTCATGCCATCTGCAGCCAGCTCGGCTCATACGGATCCAGAGACGGCTCCCAGCATTCCTATTGGGAATCTAGGGCGATCTGCAAGCACGAGGCGATCTCGGCCGCAGAGTGATCAGTTCACTGGCGCCGCGAGTCTCGTCAGCCAGATGTACAAAGGACCTGATGGTCCCGCTTCGCCTCCCCTGGGCAACCCACGACACTCGCATACTTTCTTTTCACCCCCAAACATGACAAGCAACCCGACAGTCACATCTCGTTATCCCAGCGGAAGTCAAGCCTCATCCGGGAACTTTCCCGGCATGAGGAGCGAGACGTCAAGTATCAGTGGAGAGTCGGGCGACATGTCAACATCCACACCGCCGTCTCAATCACCACCGCGCTCACACAGCGACAAGCAGACGACATTTGCGGGCGGCAAGCCACGTCCCCTGAGACTAGTCCAGGAGAATCAAGATGCGGTCAAGGACAATAAACGAGCAAGCTGGTACACAGGCTGGAGCTGGGGCGGTAAGAAGGACGAAGCCCAACCCGGAGCACCCATTCCCGAATAAACTTTAGACGGCACGATTCTTGCATCATTGTGTCCCTTTTTTTTTTCTTTTGCATACATAATTTTCTCTCGACCAACAAACAAATGGGCAGGAACTGCAGAGCAGCTCAAATGGCGTCTATGGTGTCGCATCCCCAGGTTCTTGTGTTTTGGGAGAAAGTTTACGTTTGAACGTGAAGGAGGAGGGAAGGGAGTTGTTTTGGCATAATGAGTATTCTTCATCCAGAGTGGTTTATTTGCATCGGCGCGGAAGGGGTTGGATATACGCGCAGATGACGTACCGACACGGGAGAAACATGAAGCACTTGGACGGGTATGGTTAGATGTGACGAATTTTTTGACGTCGATAGATATTGATATGAAACGGTATTTTCGGGATGGCAATGTTCCGGCGTTTGCGTTTAAGTTGCCGCTTGTGTCGATATGTGACGTGGCAAGGTGTAGCTTGGGCCTAATTCACATTGTTGTGTACAGCATTCCAGGGCATTCCGTTAGTGGTGTGCTGGTGAGAGTTGGTCGATACGTTGCTCGGGATGCTCTGTGCTGTTCTTGTCGGGGACATGGGATGGATTGGAGCTGGTGAGATTTCGCCATGTCGGGCATGTGTAGTCCATCAGCTCTGGATAAACGATGGCCATTGCGTGTATATGTCGACTTGTACTGGGACGATGAATCAATGTTCACTTTGCGATTGTTGCATGAATATGGAGTGGATGTCCGAGTATTTGGATAGGAGGAGAGTGTTGTTCCAACTTGTCAGCAGAGGCGGGCAGCAGTGGGAGGGGTTTGCGGTGAATATGTCAGGACTCTGGAGCCTTTATGGCATGAGGTTTTTTTTAGTTTTTTTTTTAAAGAAAAAAGTATAATATTAATAAATAAATAAAATCAGAGAGGCGGGGAGATGGAAGAAATTCATGGCTGGTTAGATGCATGCCCTGCTTTTGCGTGTGTTTGGACGGGCACGGCTTTGTGCAACCGCGAACACGGAATGACGAGTCGAATGCTTAATGTATGCAAGGCGCACAACCACAACATGGCGTTTTTTGTTTAGTTCGCACGTATGAATCGCACACGGCGCAAGAAACTGAATCCTCTCATTTTCCGCAGATCAATGATGAATCACATCGCTGGACAAGGCCCCGAGACAAAGTTAATGCCGGCACATCAAGCAGCGTCGGCTACAGGGTAGTTGCACCCACACGAACACACTCGCGTTACCGTGCGGTAGCTTATGACATATCAATCGAGAGGACACGGAATGGCCCTGACGGCCATCGTGGCACCTTTGAATGGCAAAACTCGGATCGCAGCTTTTCCATTCTTCGTGTGGATGGCCGAGGCAAAGCTGCCGAGGGCGGGCCGTCCCACAAGTCATGTTGCTACTGTGTACGTATTTTGGGTGTCATTGCAGCCTTTACGGAATATCGCGTGTCTGGGGTCTGGGGTCTGGGGTGCATGGCCAGCATGGTGTCAGTGACGGACAGAGAACACGTAATTTATGTTTTGAACGCTGCGTCAATTGCAGTCCGAGGCAATAACTAGCGTAACGGGTGGCCTCGTAAGGCATTGTGTATTTCCAGCTTGGCCTGATTCGGTTCGGAATATGAACTGGGATCCATATGGTTGTTCAAGTCTTCACCACCAGCAACGTTGGATGTTAGCAGACCGGCCTGGGGTGGACGGACGTCCAGTCTTGAAACGTTTGACGTGACGCCCATGTGTACGTACGAGGTGGACGGACGGGCGGCTTGGTGGTGCCATCTCCTGCTCTGGTCGGATAGAAACTATGTCAATCCGGGAAGACCAGCTAGAGAATCAGTTGAGTTCTCTGAGGCAAGCTTGCCCCTGTTGCGTGATTGTACATACGTAAAGTATGTAGTGAGGCAACTGGGTTGGTATTGGTCAGTGGCCGCGTGTTATGGGCAGATGCGCACCACACCAAAGCCCTTGCTCCGGCTCTCACGGGCAATTGGCAGTGGATGGTAGCTTTGCATTTGTATCGTGTCGGACTCTCACAGGCTGATCCATGTTCAATCATGGCGATAGGGGTGCACTGTATCCTGACTTGTTGTTGGCTTACGAAGCGGCCTTCTGTCTGGCCAGGACCATGAGGAGGCCCAAAGCGCGAGGAAATGGAACGAGATTGAACCCGTCTCTCTGCCACGGTAGATTTTCTTTCATTTTTTTTTGGGGGGGTAACAAGACGGCGAAAGAGGCATTGAGTCGTATCCGTGTCATTGCCTTGGACGGATAGTTGAGCCCAAGAAATCCCCGCGTATATGACTAGTTGGGAAACGCGCTGTAGGATCGCCATTGAGGAGTTGGAGTCTCCGGCGTCACATTCTTGCTAAATAGAGCCTCTTGCATACTTGCGTCAGCCAACTTATGAATCAGCCAGCGCAGCTGCCAACTCATGTACGATGTACCAAGAGGAGTGACTGCAATGAACAGGAATCTGCGGTCCAAATATTGAATGACATTGGATTGGCAATGTCTCGTTGCCTGGTTGAAGAGGGATTTTAACGAGTAGGAGTGGTACTAATACCCACGGCACTCTTACAATCCTCACGCCCTGCCTACCTATCTACTTAAGGAGGGTCTGGTTATCTCTAAGTACTTACTTAAGTAGGTACTTAAGTAGGCAGCGAGCTGTCCCACTGTTGCTAACACTCACCGCTAGAGCAAGACATCCATGGGACGTACTATTCGTCTGGGGAAATAAATGCTCATGTCGGGGAACCAGCCGTAGATGGAGAAAGTTGATCATGTGGTCGCTTGTTACACAAACATACAGACATGGGCTTGTCTCCTCATGTTTGGTTCGCCGCATTACTCCGGAAGAGCTGATTCGTCTATCCGAGGAGGCTGCTTGATTGTCATTAATTGAATGCATTGAATGCCGCCTTCACCCAAAACAGAATATACTGAGACATCACCACACCACCTTGCCAGCTATTGAGCCCCTTTGCACTGGGAATTCGTGTCTGAACCGATGGACAAGAGACAAAGTCGGTTAGTCGGATCAAGAATGACGGCTCCAACAAAGCATTCGAGAAGACATTGTAGTAACAGAGGGTGGGGGCGAAGACATGGGTACTCCGTACTGTGTCCGCAGTGCCGCCGGGAATAGTACCTACTTCCTGGGTAAGTACTTAAGTGCTTACTTACTTTATGTATGTACATCTAGGAGCTACTAAAAGCCACTCCAGAGTCGAAGCTGCTAGTACTAGCCAAACTACAGTAGCAGCCTGCATGTACTAAAAACATTGAATCTCTTTAGATGCAGCAGCAGAGGAGTCTCCACGATCTATTCCGCATCTAAAGAGATAGTAGGCGGGGTCCTCATGTGACACGTGACACCAATATCGGCCCCACAAACTTTTTAACCTTGATTACTCACGCCCTTAATCTCAAAAATGCTCTATTGGTCTTATCGATCCCATTGATTTCATCGGCCTTAAAGACGTAACAAATACAACAAACGCCACTCACAAATACTTCAACATGGCCGAGAAAAAGGCGGACGCCCCGGCAGCTGGCATGCTCTGGGGGGGCAGGTTCACAGGTTCAAATATCTCGGGAAACAAGCTTTGGATGCAGTATACTGACCTCATGGTGCGCAGGTGCGATTGATCCTCTCATGTATAAGTACAACGCCTCCATCCAGTACGACAAGGCTCTTTATAAAGAAGATATCCTCGGATCAATTGCTTTTGCCAGGGCCAACTCAAAGGCTGGCATCATCAGCAAAGACGAATTTCAGGCGATTGAGCGTGGTTTGCTCCAAGTGATGGAAGAATGGACGCAGGGAACTTTTACCATCATGCCGAATGACGAAGATGTGAGAGGCCGCTCAATTCTACTCAACTTGTCGGGGCTAACACCATGGACCAGATTCATACGGCAAACGAACGTCGCCTAGGAGAGGTCATCGGCAAGGACATCGCGGGTAAGCTGCACACAGGTCGCAGCCGCAACGAGCAAGTCGTCTGTGATATGCGCATGTGGTTACGCGATCGGATCCGCGAAATTGACAGCCAACTCGTCGCATTCCTCAAGGTTATTGTCACGCGTGCCGAGTCTGAAATGTAAGCCTAGCCTCTACCTCTGGCCAAAAGCGGCCCCCTTGTTGACCGACAACCTCAGCGACTACATCATGCCTGGATACACCCATCTCCAGCGTGCGCAGCCAGTTCGGTGGTCTCAATGGCTGATGTCACATGCCGCTGCGTTTAAGCAGGATCTCGAGCGGCTGCGCCAAGTTTTCGAAAGGGTCAATCTAAGTCCGCTTGGTTGTGGCGCTTTGGCCGGCAATCCATTTCAAATCGATCGAAATATCATAGCTGAGGAGCTTGGGTTTAGCGGAATAACCTTGAACTCCATGAATACTTCGGCCGACCGCGATTTCCTGATTGACTTCCTGGCCTGGAACTCGATTTTCACCAACCACGTCAGCAGGTGGGCTGAGGACCTCATCATTTATTCGACGTCTGAGTTCAGTTTTGTGCGGCTGGCCGACGCCTATTGTACGGGTAGCTCTTTAATGCCTAACAAATTCAACGGGGACTCTTTAGAGCTTTTGCGCGGCAAGTCAGGGCGTGCTTTCGGTCAAATGGCTGGGTTAATGATGGTGAGTCCTCATATTAATATCCCAGCCAGTTGAGGGTGACTAGGAGCGTGTCAAGAGTAGCTACTAACTATTCACTTGGAAGACTGTGAAAAGCTTGCCATCTTGCTATAATAAAGATCTCCAGGAAGGGTGGGAGCCTATGCTGGATTCGGTTCAGACGGTGTCGGATAGTCTAGGCATAGCCAATGGGGTCATTGCTACATTGAAGGTGCGGCCAGAGCGGATGGAGGCTGCTCTGGACAAGACGATGCTAGCCACTGATGTCGCAGAGTGGTTGGTGAGGAAGGGATGTCCGTTCAGAGAGGCTCACCATATCTCTGGACGCGTCGTTGCACAGTCTGAAAAGCTGCAAATTTCGATGGACAAGCTGACCCTTGAGCAACTGCAAGCCATTGATTCTCGGTTCACAGCAGACATTGCGGAGGCATTCGAATATGAAACGAGTGTCGAGGCGAAAACGTCTAAAGGCGGTACCAGTCGATCAAGCGTGCTGGAGCAGATCCAGGTACTCAGGGCTATGTTAGATTAGGGGTCTGATAGCCTGGTGCTGGATGCGGCCGGAGCAAGGGAATCTGGGACGGACATTACAAATGGCGCGGCTTATTTGTGGAAAAATATATGATTTGAGAGCGACGCTCTTGAACGAACCAAAAAGTTCTAAAAACAATATAATGTTCTTAGAGAACTCAAACAGGATAATTGTCGCGCGAGCCGGATATAAGAGGAGTCGTTGTCGATTAATAAACGTTTAGCCTTGAAGGCATCTTCCTATAAATAGTTGAGTTCTTGAGAATCGTCAGTCAAGACGCCAAATTGCTGCCAGTAGGAATACGCAGAGGATGTTTGTCTAAACGAGCCAGGCACAAGGCATCGCAAGGGGATATTAGAAGGTAGAGCCCAACTGGCTCTCCGCTTTGCTTGTCCCTCCGCGGTGACCTCGGGGCAGCCTTGGCCCCTGGTACACTTGTCAATCGTACTTTAAGAAACTTCTGTAGACAGAGTAATTTTTATTGCGTGATGAATGCCAATGGCAGAAACAGGCGATATTCGGTGGCGATTTGTCTAAGGGAATCTCTCTATCTACAGCAATATTGGCCAAACTCCAGACACTTTCTATTCTTTCTCCTCTTGCGATGTTCTTTCTCCTATGGGTGTAGACTATTGACATCGCGCACAGGTAAGCTAAGCATGGCATGATGGAATCGGCGTCTATGGAAACTACTTGTACATGGACTCGCCGTTATTATTGCTGTTATGGCCTTTTTTGCTGGGGTTGTAGTGCGCGTTGGGATTGTTAGTCTTGGTGGCCCCCATGGTCCTTGCGGCCCACTTTCCTTGTGTGATCTTTGTGGCTGGTGTGGCCGGCTCTCCAAGACTCTAATTGTCACCGCTTGTAGAACCCTCAATTGTGTTCATAGCGTGTGCGTCGGCGACGAAAAGACTTGGAAAAGACTTGTATTATCCTTACCTAGGAAACTCTGGTTCTGTTTCAAGAATGTCGCCAAGAATTCCGCGTTGTGGCCCAGGTGATCCTCAAATAGGTTCCCCTCAAGGTTGATTGAGAGTTCCTCCACAGATTCATCGCCTGGGATGTCCCCCCAAAAATTTCCCGTCTTCGTTCAAGAGCTCATCGATCTGCCGTCAGGCAGTGCCTGCAGTACCAATACTCGCAAGCCTCGAAATGTTCTTTGTACTTGTCCTTCTCGTGGTAGTGTCTGCATTTCCAGCACTGTATCTTGAGTCGACCAGGACATTCCTCGCGATGCTGCTTCATGTCTTCGATTCTTGGCATTTGGCAGGACCGCAAAGGAGCCACGGACATGTGAGCCTGTGTACCGCGAGCTTGCTCTTTGGGAAGCGGACCCTGCACTTGTAGCATTCGCTATAGGACCCCGGACAAACCTGTGAGTCCTTCTTAAACCAGTAGAAGTACTGCTCGCACACATGGCATCTCCAACGGGGCTAGGCATACTGTAGTCCACGGCATTGTGACTGTGTGTACCCTCTGGTTGCTGAACCACCTAGGAGCCGTCGACGAGGTCGGCCTGGATGGACCAAAAGCAGCACAGGGATCGTCTATTTTTATGACACCTGAAGTGAGATCGTCCTATCGGAAACAACGGTATTTCTGATATATGGGTTTCCCTGAGCGTGTACGGAGTATATATATATATAAAGCTTTCCAAGGTTTTTTATTTTTTTAATCTTATTCACGTATTACAAAGTCCTGAGGTTAAGTCCTGGTGCAAACGCTCCGTGCAGGCCACAGGCATTACGACGAGCGAGGAAGGAGCAAGGGACTTGATCTTTGGTAGCTTCTACCTATGCACGGGCGTGGCCTTTGTGGAAATAATAGTATGCGGTACCACCACCACCGCCGTCATCAAAGTTGCCCAATCCTGCCTGCACTGGCAACTGTCAAACCTTTCCATGCGACTCAGGAGGCGAGTGGAGTCTGGTGCCCACCCCAGCAGGTAGTAGTACTTGACTAATACTGTCAAACAGCCTGTTGCTCAGTAGCAAGGTGCCTGAGCTCGAGTCGTCAATGCTATTCACGCTACACCCCCACCTAGATTTTAGGCCGACCCCCCAGCCTGCCACCATCATTTCGCCTATGATGGCTGTTTTGGTTCTGGAACAGGGAAACGGTTTCCGCTCTTGCCTGGCCAACAAGTGCCCCGAGTCACAAGCAGAATGATTTCAGCATTTTCCAAGTTGGCCGGAAGCTCACATCAAACTGTCGACCTGTCCCGCTCCTTCTCAGCCCAGCCGGTACATTCTAATACGTTAAAATTACTAGATAAAATATGTATCTTTTTATATACCTGGAGATAAGCAGTACCTATACTCCGTAGCTTTATATGATCTCTTAGTATATTAATGTATCTCCTATATTAAGATTTCTAATTGGCCAACATCCTTGTTCGGTACGAAATTGGCGCCCTCGAACACCCAAAGGGATTCGAGTTGCATTTCGTTACACGCAGCATTCGAAGGCGCTGCCATCACAATACCATCTTTGGCTCTCCATCCCGCCGACCCCGGTGCTGCAGGACAATTGTCTGGGACACGCCGAGGTGCGTCGTAGCGCAACATCCACGCTTATTACGTACTTGTACACCGCAACAGCGAATACTTGAAGCTCGGGCGCTGCAGTTGGCCAGTGAACAAGGTTCTGAAGCTGAGCAGTTGACCATCCATCTGGCTCCTGTGCCACCCACCTGGCCGCCCTACGCCTGCGCCTGCGCCCAGGGTACACTGGTGTCCGGAGCCAATACTCGTCGGCCAGCTCAAGCATCCATGTCGTTGGCCCTCGAGTACGGAGTCCCACGGTGCCTGCCCTAGGTTCCGAGTACGTGCTCCAGTGGTCGGTGCGTGCCAGCCGGCCGCCACAGGCACGCCAGCTTGGACTCGACGACATCATCCACTTTATGCGGATACCAGCAAACCAGCTTCTGCCAGCTTCCGCCAGGCTCTGCCCTCTTCCTCCAGGCTAAGCAGTCGCCGACTGTCAATCTGCCAACTGCCACCCTCCCGATTAAACCACGCTAAGCCTGGACTCTGAGTGCTACTTGCTAGGCCGAGAGTCTCATTCGTCATATTCTGCTTAACCGTCCAATCCCCGTCGCTTTCGCTGTCGCCCAGGCTCAAATATTCAACTCCTACGAGCCCGCGCCTGGCCTGCAGGCCAAACCACCCTCCCGTCCATATCTCGCTTCGTCTCTGCCATCACCGCGCGCACTCTTGCCAGCAACAACAGCCAACTGCCGACATCGCATCTCATTTTGGGCATCGTGCCCTGGCTTGCCTCGTGTCACCCGTGGCATCCGAGCTCGTGCTACGTCCATGACGAGCCACACACGATGACACAGTCTTTTCCCAACTCATCTAGTCGCCATTCTTGACAACCTTCGTGGCCACGCCTGTGGACATGCACACTCTGCAGACACCACAGGACTCGCTCATAATAATGGAGAAGTCTTCTGCTACGGCGGACGGCGCCGCTGGTACTGCTTCCGCCGCCGCCGTCGCTGCCGCCCCGTCCAGCACCAAGACCAACAACACGACTGGGCCCAATGGCCCGTCATTACCACCGCCGAACACCTCTACGACCGAAAGCCAGACCTCGAAACAATCATCGGCTGCCAATTCTGTTGCGCATTCACCAGCCGCCTCCAGAGATGGCTCGCCTTCTAGGCAACCGCGTGGAGCAACTTCGTCTACTATGCAAACCGGGAGCAGGTCCCGTACGAATAGCCATCAAGAGACGAGCCCAACACGCCAACTAAGACAGGGTAGCCAAGATCAGGGTGCACCGACCCGAACTTTGTCATCCATGACTACCCCAAACCTACGTCCCAGCAACAGGGAAACCCCGATATATGCGCCAACACCACAGAAGCCATCAGCCATCCCGGACCTGAAGGATAACCCGCGGTGGCCAGTATCTCCACGACTACGATCACCTCCGCCTCAACTAGGCCGACCTAGGGCGACAACTCCCACACGCCGCAATGAACAAGAGGCTCCGGTGATCAGTATTCAACGGCCAAGTCCCTCGCCACACGTCTCCGATACGCAATCGCAAGTCTTGGACAGCGACACTGACGACTCTCACGCCCCTTCAGGTGTTCGAACTCCAGCTCGAGGGTTGTTAGAGACTGTCCAAGAAGTGAGCCATAACAACTCACCTGCACGGCCTAGCGATTCTGCCTTGCTGGAACAAGTCAAGGAGAAGCTTGGAGCCCCCGAAAACCACTCGGACGGTGCCCTTAGTGATGGGGGCCGTACCTTGAAATCGAAAATGAGCACTGTTAATGACCAGTATGGAGCCGAGAGCGGCACTATCAGAGCGGACTCGAGGAGACCAAGCTCAGTCCCCCCTCCGCCCTTGGTATCCAGACAGTCTAGTGCCATGTCGGGAAAGCAAACCAAATCGAAGCCTGAAACGGGTTCTACTCAGAGCATGACTGTCGAGACTGAGACAGTCTCAAGTATTCCACAGGTAGCACTCACGACGGCTACGAAGGAAGGGGGCAATGCAACGTTGAAAGCCAAGCCAAGCACGGAAACCATTAAACCTAAGAAGGAAAAGAAGAGGACCGCCAGGAAGCAACCAGCAGTTAGTGCGGGTACAGGTAAGACATCTTTGCTCACTCATGGTTCCAATATTCACAAACACCACGATACTGCGGCCTCATCCTCACCGGAGACTAACACTTTATTGTTTGATAGCCTCTTCTAAAGCCGACAACTTCGAAGCTAAGATAGCTAGTGCTGTTGATGAGGCCAATACTTCCGATTCTGAGGAGACCTTTGTTTATGATTCGAATCCGCCAGATAATACGGAAAGAACGAACCGCCGCTTTCACTCCCGGACGCCCAGTGCTACATCCATGGCTAGTCAAGTTGACCGACCAAATCTGCGGTCCATCTATGGTATAATGGAAGGCACCAGCCACGGGCCTGTTGCCAAGAAGAGCATGAAGTTTGTGAACACCTTTAATGGCAATGCTAGTGACAGCCTTACACCGGGGGATGAAGACGGCAAGGGCAGTGGACGCAGTGCCGGGGGATCTGCCAGAGGAACGGTGCGACATCATCACCACATTGGTCGATGGGGTCGACAGCCAGGCAACGGCCACGCTTCTTTATTCGATACCGAGTCTCCGTTCCCTAATGCAGCCAAGTCAAAATTTTCCTCAAGCAACAACCTCAACAACTCTCGCAATACCTCCAATCTTTCAAGCCCGAGGACATTCCTTTCTACTCGCGGGCATTTGAATCCAAAACGCTCCACGATGCAGATGTCGTCGAATTACGATTTAGACGACACTACTGGCGCTGACGATGAACGCACGCCGCTGCTTGGCACAGTACGTTCTTCACGAGGCGGGCGACGACGACCTCACACCCTTCGCCAAGCCGAGTCTCAGACTTATACCAGGCGGTCATCATATCTCAATCGCTTCGCTGCGTGCCTTGTGTTGACAATGATGCTACTTTTAGTCATTACAGGAGCCATTGGGTTTATGTTTGCCACTTCTCAACCCATGACGGACATCGAGATTATGTCAATTAAGAATGTTGTTACAAGCGAGCAAGTGTTGATGTTCGATTTAACTGTCAAAGCACACAATCCCAATATTGTTGTGGTGACAATCGACCACGCAAATCTGGAGATTTTTGCCAAGTCCGAATATGCCGGAAATGATTCAGACTGGCGGAAATCTCCGGGAGGTTCCAACGAGATTCACACCAGAGATGATCCCGTGAATGATCCACCGAAAGGCCCCGGAGAAGGCGATGGGGGTGACACCGATTCTAGGCCCAATATTTTATTAGGACGGATCACCGAATTTGACAGTCCACTGACTTTTGAGGGCTCTCTATTTCACCAAGGCGCTTCTTCTTCGACAGGAGAGATGCAACTTCCAAATCCAGGAAATGGCACTTCTGGCGGCTCTGAACGATGGGGTCACATCTATCAAAATGAGTTTGACCTGATTGTGAAGGGAGTGGTGAAATATAGCCTACCGCTGAGTGCTCATATCCGTAGTGCTACAGTATCTGGTAGGACTACCGTAAAGCCAAATTCGGCGAACGATCCGTCGCACAAGCCGAACAGTACTATTCTGGGCATATAGCATGCTGCAAGTAATACGTTACTGTATAGAGGCTTGCCATGACTTCAGTTTTCTTTGTTAATACCTATCTGTTTCGTGCATTCTTTTTTAAGCGCAATCGCATTGCATGAGAAAAGAAAAAAAGCGCTGGCGTTGGAATTTACCTCTCCAACTGCATTATGATTATGACTGATCAAACCTGATCAAAGGCTGGGAGATAAAAATTGATTCAAGTTTATGTTATTCTAAGGCTCTCTTTTTGGTTATAGATGGGGCGAAATGTCTACATCACAGACGCTCTGTGCCAGAAGAGGAGAGGAATGTACTACACAGCGACGAGAAGCTGAAATGCTATCTTCTACTTTGGGGTGGAAGAGGTAGAAGGGTTTTGTTTTGCTTTACGACTTTGGCTGCTATAGAAAGCAAACTGGGCGACTACTATATATGTAATTATTATGGTTCATGATGCAACAGACACAAGCGAAAACGAGAAGCGACGAAGTTGAATCTGGTGCAGGGGACAGGACATGTAACTCAATGACGCGGATTACTTGGAACTTGCTCAAAATTCTACTACAGTAGGTGTTCAAAAGTCTGCGAGCACCCCATCCAGTGCGAATAGCACACATTATTACGTGCATGGTGTTATTTATATAGTATATATTTTACTATATATTTAAAGTATTATAATTATAGTAAAAAAATATCTAAAAATATCTAAAAATATAATATATATATATTAAATAAAATTCTATTATAAATATAAGATTATATATTTTTATTAAATTTTATTATTTAGGGTCTTGATAGCAGAAGAATGACTTGGATAGAGAGGAACAGGACCGACTTGGAATGTGGGCGAGACCACGCAGATATACTGCGTGTGTGGGCATTTTAGGTTTTCGGTGTGACTCGGCGTGAGTCACGGGCGCGAACTACAACACACAAGGTTTGCCTCTATAATGACGGTGGCTGAGGCTATCGCGAGATGGCCTTGGCTAGCGGCCGCGGCGCGGCACCAATTGCGCTGGTACGTCTGATGCGTCACGATGCGTAGACGGTCTACTTTTCTAGTCTCCTACTGTCCTTGGCCTGGTACAGCCTAATACTGTTTTAGATTTTACGCTTACACGATACCTGTATCATGCGTGTAATTTCATTTGACTACAGAGCGAATCAACCACAAATTAAAAAAAATTTTATTATTTTAATATATATTTTTTAAAAACCTAACTTTATAGCCCCATAATAAGGGTGCTCGCAGACTTTTGAACACCTACTTTACGTACAACAAAAAGAGACTGCAGATGAGAAATGAAAGATGCCCAGGTCGATTTCAAGGTGTACACACTTTTAGTAGACATGCATGGAAGATGTAACCAGAGGCATGTTGATCATCATATCCAATTTATGTGTGTTTGACGCATCGCGATGCGTTCTTGGTATATCGCGCGGTCAGCTACGGTTCCGTAGTCTGGTACGGCTGGTCTTGATTGATCATTTAGCCCTTTTCTTATATTAACTTAATCATACCCAGTTTATTTGATAACGTCTTTGCTTCGCCCTGACCAGAAACGCCAATCATGCCCTCGTTTTGCAAATGCGTATCGACACGAAATCTCCGTCATGTGTGTCACGTTGCCGTTCCTATATCCACGGCCAAATGAAATCAAACCACGTCATGAAAAATGAATCCCCTCCTCGTTGAATGCAAACAACAGACGCAAAAAGTCATTCTCATCGCACTTGCCAGCTCGCTTGTCAGCTAACTCGGTAACATCCTCCAGCACCTTGCGAATCTTTTCCCGAACCAGCTCCGCCACCTTTGTCTTCTTGCGCTTGCTCTTGGTCTTGGGCGCACTGCCGGCCGACCTGGTCATCTGCTTGAAAAAATCTGGCGCATCGTCGTCATCCACATCCATGCCATCGCCCTCCTCGGCACCCAGGCCAGCACCAGCACCAGCATCCGTGTCCATTTCCTCTTCTGCGTCGTCACCCTCGACGAGGGTCTCATCCACAGCGACGCCATTCATCGCACACCACGTCCGGTAATTCTTCTCAACCATGGTCAATACCTCCCTTGTGCCTAGCCAACTTGCCCGCAGGGTCTTGTTCTTCCTGACAAAGCATACGCGTAGCAGGCCGTCCCATTCGTCCCAGCTTACATTGGGTCTGTCTTTGCCGACTTTTGGTTCAATCCGCACCACGGAGGATTCGACTTGCGGTGGAGGGCGGAAGTTGTTCTTGCCGACTTTCATGATGTGCGTGATTTTGGCCCAGAACTGCGCGTTGACGGAGATGCGCGAGTACAAGGAGTCGCCGGGCCGGGCGGTTAGCCGGAGGGCAAATTCGCGCTGGAACATGAGGACGGACGTCCGTGGGGGGTTGGGCATGGCGAGAAGTTTGAAGACGAGGGGACTTGAGATCTTGAATTTTTTTTAGCCCGGCTGTTCATGTCCAGTCTCCTCGCAGGAGATTTTGGAAGGCCAGGTTACGTACCTGATATGGCGTATTTGAAATGCAGACATCGAACTGTGGCAACTCCGTCTTAATCACATCGCCCAATATGACCTCCAGTTTCCTCTGCTCCGGCGTCCCCTGCACACGCTTCGTCACTTCTGCCGCCATGCGAGGATCCAACTCGACGCAGATACATTTTTTGGCACGCTCCAAAATTCGTACTGTCAAATTACCAGTTCCGGGACCGATTTCCAAGACGGTGTCTGTGGGTTTTAAATATGCCTTTTCGACAATGGCGTCGGACACACCAGGGTTTTTGAGAATGTGCTGGCCGAAATTGGTGTTGAACTTGAAGACATTGTTCTTGGAGTTTGCGCCGGAATTGCTTGAGCCACCGGATGGTCGATCGTAGGGGCTGGAAGGCGCGCCGTTTCGCTTCGACTGCTTGACTTTGCCCATTGTGAAGGTGGTGGCAGTGTTGGATCTCGCGGTGAGGAGGGGCAGGTGTCGATTTGGTGTTCAAGGAAACTTTTTTCTGGGGACTGTTCTTATCGATACAGGCGCCCTGGCGTGCGAAACAGGGCTGACCATGTGAAGATTTGGGCTGCGAGGCTAAGGGAAACCCGGTCTTCTTTTCACATGGCCCATGCTTTTGCCACATGCTTGGAACGACAGGCAGCTTTCCCTGCACTGCAGCTAGACTTATCCATCAAATTTATCTTTTGCAGCGTTTTGTATTTTATTTTCCCTTTTGCCCGCGCAGAACGCGCACGAGAATACAATGGCGTCCAAACTCGATTTCCTCAACCAGAAGGCGCCAGAGAACTACGTCGCCGGTCTCGGTCGTGGTGCTACGGGCTTCACAACGAGATCTGACTTGGGTCCAGCACGCGACGGTCCCAGCGAAGACCAAATCAAGGAGGCTCTTGCAAAGCGCGCTGCCCAACTCGGTCTTGCGCCTGACGGCAAGAAGAAGGACGACGACGACGACGATGACGAGCGATTCCAGGATCCCGATAATGAAGTTGGCCTGTTTTCCGGCGGCATCTACGACAAAGATGATGAAGAAGCCGACCGCATATGGGAATGGGTAGATGAGCGCATGGATAGAAGGAAAAAGCAGCGCGAGGCCCGAGAACAAGCCGAGCAGGAGGAATACGAGCGCAAGAACCCCAAGATTCAACAACAATTTTCAGATTTGAAACGTGCCTTGGAGACGGTCACGGACGAAGAATGGTCGAATTTGCCCGAGGTTGGTGACTTGACGGGTAAAAATCGGCGAAGCAAGCAGGCTTTGAGGCAGAGGTTCTACGCTGTTCCAGATAGTGTGCTTGCTGCTGCGCGAGATTCTACCGAGATGAGCACCACGGTTACCGATGATGGTGTCGCGTCAAGCGCTACGGACAAGGCGGACGGGACTATGACCAACTTTGCGCAGATTGGTGCTGCCCGCGATAGAGTGCTTAAATCGAGATTGGAACAGGCATCCCGAACGAATGGCGATGCTTCGAATGGCAGTTCCACGAGCATCGATCCCCAGGGCTACATCACAAGCCTGAATAAGATGCAGATGAATGAGGCCCAAGCCCAGGTGGGAGACATCAACCGAGTGCGAGAACTTTTGCAGTCAGTGGTCAAGACGAATCCAAATAACGCACTTGGCTGGATAGCAGCAGCTCGATTGGAAGAGCTGGCGGGCAAGATTGTGGCGGCGAGAAAAACGATTGATCAGGGTTGCGAAAAGTGTCCAAAGAGCGAGGATGCTTGGCTGGAAAACATTCGACTTAATCACGACTCGCAAAACGCCAAGATTATTGCCAGAAGAGCCATTGAGGCCAACAACCGGTCTGTGAGACTGTGGGTGGAGGCCATGAGGCTGGAAAACATACCCAGCAACAAGAAGAGAGTCATCCGTCAAGCGTTGGACCACATACCGGAATCAGAAGCTCTCTGGAAGGAAGCCGTCAACCTGGAGGAGAACCAAGACGACGCCAAGCTGATGCTGGCAAAGGCTACGGAACTGATACCATTATCAGTCGACCTCTGGCTCGCCCTAGCACGCCTCGAGTCTCCCGAAAACGCACAAAAGGTGCTCAACAGAGCACGAAAAGCGGTGCCCACGTCCTACGAGATTTGGATTGCTGCCGCACGCCTAATGGAACAGCTCGGACAAGCTAGCAAGGGCAACGTCATGACGACGGCAGTGAGAGTCTTGGCCAAGGAATCCGCCATGCCCAAGCGGGAAGAATGGATCGCAGAGGCAGAGAAGTGCGAGGACGAAGGCGCCATCCTCACCTGCCAGAACATCATCCACGCCACGCTGGGCTGGGGTCTCGACGAAGACGACGACCGCAAGGATACATGGATGGAGGACGCGAGATCCAGCATCAACCGCGGCAAGTATGACACCGCCAGAGCCATCTACGCATACGCCATCCGCATCTTCTATAACAGCAGGACCTTGCGCATGGCGGCCGCTGACCTGGAGCGTAACCACGGCACCAAGGAGTCTCTCTGGGAAGTCCTCGAGCAGGCCGTGGACGCGTGCCCCACGAGCGAGGACCTGTGGATGATGCTCGCCAAGGAGAAGTGGCAAGCCGGCGAAGTCGACAACGCCCGTCTCGTCCTGAAGCGCGCATTCAACAAGAACCCCAACAATGAAGACATATGGCTGGCGGCCGTCAAGCTCGAGTCCGAGAACGACAACGCAGAACAGGCGCGCAAACTGCTTGAAATCGCGCGAGAGCAGGCCCCCACCGACCGCGTCTGGATGAAGAGCGTCGTCTTCGAACGAGTACAGGGCCAGGTCGAAACGGCGCTCGACCTCGTCCTGCAGGCCCTCCAGCTCTTCCCCGCCGCCGCAAAGCTCTGGATGCTGAAGGGCCAGATCTACGAGGACCTCGGCAAGACGGCCCAGGCGCGCGAGGCATACGCAGCCGGCGTAAAGGTCGTCCCCAAATCCGTCCCCCTCTGGCTCTTGTACGCGCGCCTCGAAGAAAAGTCCAGCATGACCATCAAGGCCCGCTCCGTCCTGGACAGGGCCCGCCTGGCCGTTCCCAAATCGCCTCAACTGTGGTGCGAGTCCGTACGCCTGGAGCGCCGGGCTGGAAACCTGTCGCAGGCCAAGTCCATCATGGCAAAAGCGCAGCAGGAGATCCCCAAGAGCGGCCTGCTGTGGGTCGAGCAAATCTGGCACCTCGAGCCGCGGACGCAGCGCAAACCGCGTAGTCTGGAAGCCATCAAAAAGGTTGACAATGACCCGTTGCTGTTTGTAGGCGTGGCGAGGATCTTTTGGGCGGATCGAAAGCTGGAAAAGGCGCAAAATTGGTTCGAGAAGGCTCTTGTGCTGGATAGTGACTCTGGAGATAGCTGGGCCTGGTACTATCGGTTCCTGTGTCAACATGGCACGGAGGAAAAGAGGTCAGAGGTGGCTAGCAAGTGTGTTTTGAGCGAGCCCAGACATGGGGAGGTTTGGGAGAGGGTGGCAAAGGAACCTAGGAATGCCAGGAAAGGGGTGGAGGAGATTTTGAAGTTGGTTGCAGAGGAGCTGGAGTCATGATCGGGTTTGTATTATTTATTATATTATATTGCCTATGTGAACACGTCAGGTATTGGGTGTAAGTGAGTAGATTGAGGTTACTACTAATGAGATATGCCATGAGAACGATGATAGGCCAGCCCGCAGGTGGGCGGTTTATATGATGGAAAACGTAATGGCAACATGACAAGCTCAGAGTGTACGGGTGGCGCGTAGAAGTAATTACTAGATTTCGAAGCCCGAAAATGTCATGAACTTTACTAGTTACAACAGAAACCCCTGTACATAAGCCTTGACCCGACTAACGCATCTTAATATGTATGACGGACGTGGCTCTACTTGCTGCCACCGCCAAACCATCCCGAAATACCACTCTTGGCCTTGGCAGCACCGTCCTCGACCGTCTTGTCAAACTTGTCGACGGCCTTGATGGCCTCAGCCTTGGCGTCCTTGACGTAGGATTCAGTCTGGCTCTTGATTTTTTCAGCCTTTTTGTCGGCTTCGGCCCACTGCAATCTTGTTAGTTTACCATGCCGCACAGTCGCACTCTTGCGCCGTACAAGTAGAAGGCGGAAGAACAATACATACAGCCTTGTCAACCTTGGCACCGGCCTCGGCTCCATAGCCCTCAAGTTTCTTCTCAGCATCAGGCTTGCTACCAGGCAGACGGTCCTTTACCTTGGCGGCGGCGCTGTGGACGTCGCCTGAGGAATGTGTTAGTCTCGTCATGAGTTTGTTGCAAGCGCTGCTGCTGCTGCTGCTGCTGCCAGAGGCCCCAGCGGTCTCAGCGCACCGCGCACCAAAGCGTAGCTGAGCCGTGTCGAAGCAGCGCCATCAATTGTAGCATGGGGTAGCCAACATACTTTCAAACTTGTTCTCGGCGGCTTTGGGGCTGCCGCCTGCATTGTATAGGTAGTACCCGACACCGCCTGCGGCACCGAGACCGAGGATAAGAGGCATACGTGATTTGGACATTGTGTGTGAGGAGAGCGACGAGGTGTATAGCCTGATGGAAGGACCGGAATTTGAGGCTTCACACGATGAGGCGGGAAGGTGGAAGTAAAAGGCAGAGATTTGGACCGAGGGTGGGTGGCTGGAGAGGAGGAGGGACGGTTTTAGCTGGAGGGGAGGAGAAGCTTTGGTTCCTACGAGCTGCAGCTTTCTACAGATATACTTGGGGAGGACATGGATGACGGAGGGCAGCTACCCGGGCACGCGTGTTTGCGCGGGCAGGCGCATGGAGATGGAATGTGGGAGGAAGTCACTTTAATGTTACTCAACGGCTGGAGGCGGCATGAGCAACTGTAGAACGGAGAGCGGGAGGCGGCACCAGCGGCTTTGGGGCTCGACGTCGGGGGCCCGACTGCAGTGAGATGCCGAATGATGGTTCCATGTGTCTGCTGCTGAGCTCAAATGTTGATGGCACAATCGAATCATGGGCCATGGCACTTCGGCGACGGCCGAGCTTGAGCTTGGATTCCAGAGTTGGTAGGCGCATCTGTTGCTTTTGGCCGTCGTGATTGGCTGGACGGCAGTCATGACGTAGATCTGGCTCTGGGTTCTGGGGGTTGTGCAGGGGGGAGGACACAGCAAGACAACAAGGCCTGGGGAATATGGATCGGCGTACCGAGTAGGACGATGACATAGCTTATGAGGCAAGACGCCTACGGATCCTATTGAGTATGCGAAGGTGCAGCTAAGAAGCCAATTATTAATAAATACTTATTTTTTCTAATAAATAATATAAGAATATAAGTACTAGTTATCTTTAAATATATATAAATATACATAAAGATATCTAAAGATATATTATTATATATTATTATACCGTGACTAGATTAAGCAATAAAAGTATCTTAAAGGTATCGCAAGAAAATACGTCCGCTGCACCTTCGCACACTCAATACATATTGATGCAACCAGACCAGTCTTACATGTGCCGCTAGGCAGGCCCCGTTGTGCCGTGAGAGGTTTATGTCGCCGCTGCACGGCCCCAAGGTGCTGAATAAATGCTCTAATGCCTCTTCTTTCGCGCTTAAATGAAACGGCAGCATCTGACCTCCGCCGCCCAAGTCGTTACATCATGGCGACATCCGTCTTTGCCCACCAGTTGCCGGCGGCCTTGCTCCTTCAATGTTCCAATCGGCCCACAGTGGTGACCTGCATCTTGGATTTTTGGGGCACGCTTCGACATGGATGAGCCGCGCAATCCCTGTTCATTGGTACTATCCTTTGCTGGCGGTGTTCCCGAAAATGGCTACTGACTGGTGCTAATAATAATGGCCTTGCAGAGCTGTGCATGCATCATCAGTCCATAATGACCATGAATTTGTCGTGATGCTTCCGTGCCCTTTTTGGTCCTTAAGCCAGACTGCTCCTGCCGTTTTCTTTCATCACTCTGCATTCAGACTCGTAGTCCCACCTGCCAACAAACATTAAAACAATAATCATCACATCTCCACTTTCAAGCTTAATGGAGCTTTTATCGCTTGTTTGCGCGCCAAGCTCCATGTCATTTTGATCCGACCATCTTTCACGTCAAGGCTAGACTGTGGCTCAGCAAGCTGGAAACCCGCAGTGCTTGGTCTTTGTCTTTGGCTCGCGAACCCAGGCCACCGTTGCTCCGTTGCATTTTAGCTTTCCTGCTTCCTGCTCTCAAACGCTTTCAATCTCCGACCGCTTCACTTTCTTTCTTCCCTTTCTTTTCCCTTCTCTTACCTCTTTGTTTCCCTTCTCTACTGCTGGGCTGACGTCAATCCAACACCGTTTGCTCATTGTTCCTTCACGCCGCAGTCTTATTTTTCAAGTCTTCAACCTCTTCTCTCTTTCCTTGGGATTTCTGTGCGACGATTTTGGCCGACGCTGAAGACATTCGACGACGCAAGCCCTTGCCACTGGCAATCGTACCGAGTACTCCACTGACGCAATCCGAACACGGCGGCGGCATCTCTTTGCGTTTGTTCAACCAGTACGGACGAGCCCTTACACAACAGTGGGCGGCGCCACACCTTCACTCGTACCCAGCCGAACAACCGTCCAGCCTCATACTTTCGTCATATCCGTACCCAAGGATTTGGTAGGCGCTTCACCAGCGTACACTTAGATCCGTCATGCTCGCAACCTTGGATGCGCAATGGTGAAAGTTCGGAGCTCTCGCCGTGTCGCGGGTCTGAAACCAGGCGATTACGACCACGAGATTGGCCTGGTCAACCATGATGGGGTGGATGACGATTCACACACCGTGCTGACATCGGATGTTGATACTCGTAGGGGCTCAACAACATCTCGATTGATATCGCTAGCGGGTGATAGCGGACAAGAAGATGAGGCAACCCGGGCTGAAGGTAGCCAGGCAAACAAAAACCGCATCCATGACCAGCAAAATAGTGTGGTGGTGGTGGATGTGTCGGAGGAGAGTGACAATCGACTCCGTCCTGAGGATTCTCTTCCTCAGCCGTCCACCCAGCCATCAATTGAAGTCCATGGTAAATATCTCTCTCGACATAACGGACTCCAACCACCGGGGACTAACCATCTACCTGCGCAGCTGCGACACCAGACATATTCCACGATCCCACGCATCGAATCATGCCCAAGCAGCCACGCGAAACTCGGGAAGTTGCTATTGACGTCATGTACGAGAATGAAAGAGGGGGTTTTATGTGTGGTATAGCACTATTTTCATCTAAAGCTCTCGGTGGCCTTGATCCGCCTGCATGGAGTAAGTTGCCTTTTGGCCACATGCCAATCCTGAAGCCGGAAATACTGACCGCAGAAAAGCCAATGCTTACCATAAACCATCACTGACCAACATTTACAACGCGGTGGTTCCAGATCCCTCATGGGAGTGGATTTGGTCAGAGTGGCGAATAAACTATGAAGAAGGCGTGGACGAGGGCGGCTGGGAATACTCCTTTGCGTTTTCAAAAATGTTCTCCTGGCACGAACCAAGTTGGTGGAACTCGTTCGTTAGAAGGAGAGTTTGGATCCGGAAAAGGGCAAGGAGAAGATCTGCAGATTTGAATTCCTCCGGCAACCTGCTCAACTCCGACTACTTCACCATTCGACCCGCGTCTTCTCGCAGCACTAATCAGCGATCTGTGGCGAGCGTGGCCAGCAGCCGTGTTCCCAGCAAGTCCAGCCTAACACGCACATCTATCAAGGAGGTAGAAGAGGCCCAGGAGATTGAGAATATAGAAACGTTACTATCGGTTCTGCGGTCATCGAGAATTGATCGTGAGAAGAGAGAGGCCGTCGAAAATTACCTTGATCATGCAATGGACCTCAGCCAACTTCAAGACGAGATGCACGAAATCATGTCGATTTTCGTTTTTCAAGCATCACGGCGACAGCTTCTGACCCATTTGATGCGTAAATACGATGACACGACACGCAAGCTGGAAGAAAACGACAACAAGGACAACAAAAATCTCCAGGAGCGGAAGAAAGCGCTCGAGGCCGCCGTCAAACATGCAGACGAGGAGGTTAGCAAACTGGCCTACTGGAGCGACGTCAAAAAGATGGCCGAGAGAGGGGAGCTGAGGTTGTCGCTCGATGAAGATCAGGGTTGGCATGAGGCACGTCCTGGTTTGGATCGAAGCGGGCCAAATGCACCGAATATGGGCGAGTTGCCAGGATCTGGAAGATCCCATTGAAGGGGGGTTACATCATATCATACTCTTATCCCCCATCCTATCTCTTTGTGGATAGATTATTTTGTATACTTAATACCCTCATCGTCGATAGTTTCTTTTTCTGCTATTTTTCTAAAAAGGGATCCGGGCCAAAGGGCATTCCCGTGCTGACAGCTCTTTGCATGACTGGGAGGCAGAGGGAGTCTGGAGTTTTCACAGTCACATCCGTTTCTGGGGTTGAGCATCGCATACGACGAACCGCATCATGTTGAAACCGCAGGTGTCGAGGATACTGCAATACTCAAAGTGTATGAAATACAAAAGACTAATGAAATTCATGCTCTACATTTTGACAGTATGCTTCATGGACAAAGATGCTGTCACGCTACAGACGCAAGTGCCAACTGGTTGACATGGTTGGTCCATATGCTAAAGGCGGCTCTCAATTGTGATATTGGCAGCTGCACCACTTCAATGTAGTATCATAAAATGGTGAGTTTTACAGTTTTACGGATTGTCTCTACTGGCAGATGTGGCAGTTTTATATTGTGCATACTGCTCTGGTATGTAAAACACTTGATTTCGAACATCGTACATTTCGTTCAAGAATTGATAACTTGGGAAGTGCTATGGGGCCTTTTAAATCGCACGAAATCCCTGGATGTCACGAATAGCAAAGGGTCAGGGCCATGGTCAAATTCTTACTCGCGGCTTGGTAACTACGTTGCAGCCGGCGCAATGACAGTGCTCATTTTTGCCCGTTTCCCGAGCCATTTTGTCTTGTTTCTCGTCTTTCATGGTTGCGGGCGCGGTGTAGTCAACCAGTCAAGTGGCAAAGGCCTTTCTCGGCGGCTGTGTCTGGCCCGGTGTCTCATAGCTACTAGCGTATTTGGCCAGTATGCTCTGACCAACTAACTGCTCGAGGCGTTAACACTAGATTCACTAACGTGCTTGGATGTAAATTGAGAGCTAGATGATGCAGAATGTGCGTTCTACAAAACCCCTGCTCTTTTCAAATACCTGGCCATCCATGAACCCGTGGACGTAGCATGGGCCCACGAATAGGAAGTCGCTGTTTGCTTCATTTGCACCTCCATCTCCGGATGGGACGGGCCTCAGAACAACCGGTACCTTTGCGCCCTTTAGCACCGTGATCCAGTCGCCGTCTTGGGCTCCGTGCGGAAGCCTGCAGTAGATCCCGCCCTTGGTCATGGCAAAATCCCACGTATACCACTCAAACACGGCGTCTTGGACTCTAAAATCGATGTCGATGTCTCTGTTGCTATCTAGAGGCGTGGTGATCCATTTGGTGAACCGCGGCGCCAGCTCCTCGATGTCGGCGCTCGTGAGGCGAGCCATTGGGTAGCGCTTCACGTCCATCATCATGGTGCGCCAGAAGGCTTCAAACGAGGCTGGGAAGTTGGGGACGTCGCAGGCACTCGCATCCGGGTGGTTGGTCTTGAGAAACGAGGACAGCGAGGAGTTGCCATTGCGGATTGCCGCCCGGATGAGGTCGTCTGGCATCCACTGCAGGCAGTGGTTCGCGCCAGGGGGGTAGGGCACGGCGTTCTGGTTTTGCGGACTATATCTCGAGACATGGGATAGGGTGTCGATTTCGTAGCCCGCGAGCTGCAGCGTGCCCTCTGAGACGGAGAGCGGCAAGTCCACCTCGGCGCCGCCAGCGTTGAAGATGGACCTCTGCGCGAAGAGTATGCTCGTTTGGCCGGGGCTGGCAAAGTCTATGGTCCACGATGGCAGGTCGCTGCTGCGACTGTCGTTGCCGTAAAGCTGCCAGGCGGACTGGCACAAGAGGTCGAGGTTCCGATCGTGCTCCATTAGCCTTTTCATGCAGTCGATGTAGATGGCCCTTGTGGAGAGGCTGTAGTCTACTTTGATGTCGAGTCTATTCGACGTGAGACTTAGGAGGGCGTATATCTTGTCCCGCGGATCAGTGGCATCGGTGTACCGAAATCGGGAGAGAACATCCAGCATTGATGATGGCTCGTTGGCCTGGACCTCGTCCCTCACCACTCTTCGCTGGTGGCACATGATTTGCGGGTAGGCAATCGCTCCGCTTGCCCAGGACCGGATGCTCATGTCGTGGCTGAACGGGCCGTGAAAGGCGTCGGGGACACCGTATCTCTCGATATAGACGTCGACGTCGAGGAAATCCTCCACCACCGTCCACGGCAGCGTCGCATGCCCTGCCACGAGAAGAAGGCTGGATGCAAAGGCTACCTCCTGAACGATCCAGACCCGTCTCCATAAGGCTGGCGTTGCAAAGAGATGGCGTAGGTTCTCCTGCATGCGCTCCAGCGTCTGCGTCTGCTCGTCGCTCAGGTCCAGCCATCTCTGGCGCAGCTCGTCCTCCAGGCGAAACAGGGAGCCGAAGTGAGCCATGGAGGATGCTGCGTCTTGCAGCATTTTGGCATCCCCGCCGAGCCAGAGGAGGTCTGTGGCGCATCGTTGGTAGACCTGGCTCATGTAGCCTATGTGGTTGCTCTTCTCTGCGTGGTTCGCCTGGTCGATGCAGATGGCGTCGGCCCAGATTTGACGTGGCCTGTCTGGTAGGCGGAGGTGGCGAAGGGCAGTCTCCAGGTTTCTAGTTGCGTTGAACATGCCGTGGCCGACCTGAATCGGCCGCGTTTCTGTGGTTTGGCCCCAGACATAGGACAAGGCTTCAAAGGGCGGGTGGTTGTGAAGCTCGACGTTGTGCAGCTCGCACTTGATGGGGCTCGAAAAGTCCGAGGATGGTTGCAGTGTTATGAGACGGAATCCGCTGTCTGGTTGGAGCGGCTTGTACTCTACAGTGGACTGCATTTTTATTATAAATATCAGGCAGATGGCATTGTTGATGTTGGAACCCCAACAATCAATCACCTGACGCATTTACCAGGATGATGAAAAACCCTAACCCTAACCCTATTATACCCCTTTGCCATGTCGGCAATTGGAGCATACCTTGGTTATGGTGTAGTGATCACCATATTCCACAACGCCTTAGAACGGTGTCAACTACACAATGCTGTCTTTTAATCCAATTTTATAGCCTTGATTTAGACTTGATGTCAAATCAAAATATTCATGGTCGTTGGTCTTACAGTATCACCACCACCTCTGTTGAGCTGCTGCGTCACAGAAGCCTGGCACGTGACGTGGTGGACCCTTGCAAACCCGGTTTAGAGGGCTCTCCATGTTTTCACTACGTCTCCAAATCACCAGACTATTTACCACCATGCGGCACGCCTCATGACCAATGTCCTTGGGGATCAAGTCAATATGGCGGACTGGGTCCCGGTGCATCGGCTCACCTGGAGCGCTTCCCATTTGGAAATGCGGCCTGCCCTCCAGGAGATCTCTGCTGTCAGCATCTTTCTCAACAAGTCGCCGACAGTACGTGGCTGAGCAGGACAAGGACAACACTGGGGATTTAGCGACCCTTGCTTCCCAAGCTCTGCCTACGACATTTGAGATCGAACAGTCGGTCAAAACACGCGGTGAGGTGATGGAGACGAATCGTGCGAGAAACGCCTTCATGAGAGGCGCTTTCAGGGATCAATCACCACAAATACAGGCTGCTGTGGACAAGAAACGAAGCTCACCTTATGTGCCAACTGCTCGCGACTATCCGTCCGTGGCAGCAACCCGAGCAAGTAAAGGCTTCACACGCAAGATGGCTCGCGTTCAAGTGGGATTCGATATGATCTGGGAGCACTTTGGCAGAAAGGTACCTGAGTGGAGCGAGACATTCAACTTGCTGAAACGAATGACGCCGAAACGAAGCGATACTCCGAGCATGGTGGCTGTAAGAGTAGTGCTACCCTCATCGTGGGATATGTCTGTGGGAAACAAGCGGATCGAGTTCTTGGATGCGACAACGGGCCTGGCCACCAAGCTGCGAATATCTGCGGATCACCAGAATCCGTCAGCTGTTGTCTTGAGAGGCGAAAGCGCCGTCTTGGCGAAAGCAGCAGACGAATTGATCAGGGCATGTCCGGATGTAGAAATATTTAAGCTGGGGGATGTAGCTACGGTGGACTACAAAACCAAACAGCTATGGCCGGCGATTGAGGACGCCCAAGATGCAGGGTCGACAGTCCCGCCGAGCAACAAGGACAATATATGGGTGCATAAGGAACTGCCGACATATTGGATTGACCTCCCGTACGAGCAGACGCCCAAGCCAAGGCAGTGGACTAAGGAATCATTCGAGACGTACATTACGGCTCTTGTGTGTGGGCGACTACAGCCACATTTGGCCATGAAGTACTACAGACAACCCCGAGAAAATGGCAAACTCATTGATACAGAAGGCATTCGAATTGGACTAATTTTAAAGGCGTTCGAGGACCCGGCAGCAAGAGAGTGCATCACCACGTCCGTTTTGAAAATGGCGATAGGATTCATGGCCCACAAAGGGGGCCACCGTGCATCCGCAGATCGACTCTTCACGCTCGCTGAGGGATGGGGCCTGCCCATGGATACTGAGCTCTTCAACGTCATTCTTGGCGGATACGTCGCCAAGCAAGACGTCGCCTTCTTTCACAAGCTCCTGCAAAAGATGGAAGAGCGGTACTTCTACCCCAATGCCAGAACCTGGCTCCATTTCCTCAAGCTCGTCCAGCGAGACGATGAGAGACGACAGGTTATAGCCGCCATGTACGAGAATGGTCTGTTCGAAGACCCCTCCACGCGAAGAGGAATCGCTGAAACTATGGCTAGCAACGACTCGTTCGCGGCCTTCAAGGCCGGTAAAAGCCTAGACGTCTTCCTTGCAGACCAGGCCATGCGCTACGGAGAAGATTGGTACACACTCGAAGCAGTAAACCGCATCCTTGAAGAATTCTTCTGGTTTCACGACCCTTCGCATCCCGATTTCTCAGCCTTCAAATCCCTCCTGGACCGCTACACCTCCAATGGCCACCAGATAGATATCGGAAGCACGTCCAACGTCATCATCAAATCCTGTATCAGCAGAGGAGACTGGTCTACCGCCCAATGGGCCCTGTCACGCATGCTGCAGCACGGACGGGAGCCCAACTCCCAGACGTACACTTCTCTCGTGTCGCTAGCCATGTCCTCCAGGGCATACTCTTCTCTCGGGGTGGTCTTCTTCTACGGCGTTCTCTACCGGAAGCTACGAAAGGGCCCACGGAGGGTCATGCAGGGCGTCATGCTTAAGCGACTTCTGGACGGCTTTCCCGTCAAGATATTTTCCAACAAGATGGGCCGACTGTTGACAAAGAAGAAGGTAGCAAACGACCACGCAATAGTTGCAGGCGCCGAATGGGCTATCCTACACTCATGTAAGAGCTACAAACCCGTCAAGTCCCTCGCCGCAGCGCTGGACACGACGTGGCGAACCATGGACCAACCCCTTTTGCGAACGGCCCTCGCTGCCGATCCGGAAGCAAGTGCAGAACAAGTCCTCTCGCACGATTACGCGGTCAAAATGCGAGATGAGTCCGGCCAACAGCCCCCCATCATAGTCCATCTAGACACGGCGTTTGATCCGGAAACAATGCTTCGAGACTCAAATCCTGAAAATAAGCCGCGGTCGCAGCATGTTCCTACAGACGCAAGGTCTGATATCAAGGATAAATTGAACGGAGAAAAGAGAACAGTCGAAAGCATTGATTATTGAAGAAATTCGTGTACGATATACAAACAGGTGTTTTGATACCCACTCCAGCATTATAGATGGACAGTGCAAGCTTTTCATTTAGGGGGACGTCTTTTATCATTTGCTGCTAGTGACTAGCACTACTGCGTATGGGATATATAGAGATCTTAAAAGCTGTATAATAGAAGCCCCAATCAAACCGTGCAAGAATTTTGTATTCCTTTACTACCCTCGCCAAAACGCCCGTGCTCTGGTCGATACGGCGGCTCTGATGACAAGTCATGTGAAGTGACGAGACAAACAAAAGCTGACAAGGTTGTGAACAACACGAGAAGACAATGGAGAGAAAGTTGTGAAATGGTAGTTCTGCCGTGTCTTTGTCTGTCTCGCCTGCAGCTCCTGTCTGTCTGTAATGCATTTCACGCATCCGACAACCGGTAATACACTGAGCCGTAATGACGACGAACATTACTTCCGTGGAGGGAGCAAAAGAAACATCAAACAAATGTCTAATCGTCCAACCGGTTGGTCAATTCGGAGAAATGCAACCCACATACACACACCCTTTCGCCCACGTCCCTATCCTTCCATTTCCTTCACACAAAGGCGCGCGTGAAAAGAACTAGACTTCGAGAAAAAGAAGAGAAAAAAAATGAGACTTCGTGTGAATAAAACATATCAAAACGCAAGCCAGCCCAAGCGAGACCCATTTGTGTGTATTGTTTGTGCTTTCACTTCTCCGACACCTATCCTCTGATGTCTACTCCAATTGAATGCGAAAGGACCACCTATTCCTTCTTGCTCTCGTCGGAGGTCGATTTGGGCTTGGCTTCCTTCTTCTCATCCTGCTGCTCGGATACAGCCGCTGAAGCCTTGACGATTTCTTTACCAGATTTTGACTGGGTTTCTGGTTCTTGTTTCGATTCGGCGGCTGCGGCGTCAGCGGTGGAGGTCGGGGCATGTTCTTTCTCTTTTGATGTCGAGTTATTCTTAGACACTTGACTCTCGAGGTCTTTGTCTTCGTCGGCGTTATCGAACAATTCGGTATCATCTGAATCGGTGAGAACCTCTGTGCCATCGCCGAGAAAGATTATTCGGCCTCGGTACCCACCAACGCCGAAGCTTTTGCCCTTGTTCTCCGCATCCATCTCATAGCCACTGTCACTATCTTCGTAGTTGTGGTGGACGCCAGGACCACGGAACTCGGCTAATACGAGTAAAAAGAACAGTTGTCAGCTTAAACTTTTGATGAGAGCCAATGGCATACACAAAGTCCACTCAGGGGCCGGTCTATTTTTGTGTATTGGGGAGGGTTATGCGCACCATATTCTGGGGGGGCGCAAGGGCCGTCTCCGTTTGCGACGCGCTTGGCGATCTCCTCGTACCATTGCTCCTTGGTCTTGCCATTGAGAAACCCGATAATGGACATGGTCATGTTATCGCAGCCGACACCGCCCGTTTCCGAGTTTGAAGCCAGGCAGTTGTCCATCATGTTCTCGCAGATCTTATCCAGATCCTGCTTCGCGGCGATGCCACGTCTGACAAACTCGACAACAGCCTGTGAAGATTGGCAATCCCAGATACCTAGGATAATTTGTCAATGCTAATTTCCTTTGGGCCATAGAGGTGCCACTCCCAACGTGCTTGTGACTTACCATCGCAAGCAAGGACCAAGAATTCGTCTTCGTCCGTGAGCTCGTGTTCTTCGACGTCGGGGAATGCGGTAACAATTTGCTGCTCCGGGGGCAGCTCGGCGCTCTTCTTGAATTCAAAGTCACCAATGGCGCGTGACAAAGCCAGGTTGCCGTTGACACGCCCAAAGTCGACGAAGCCACCGGCGGCCGTGATTCGGTTCTTTTCGTCTAAATGAGAAAAAAGATGGAAGTCAGGCACCAGTACATCTCCATCTAAAGGGTAAATGCCGCGGTAGGGCACTCAGAATTAAAGGTGGTGTTAACGAACTCTCAAGTTGAGGCTTGTGGTCCTGAGACATGGGCTTTGCCCGGCCTTTGATACCCAACACACCTCGTGAATCACCAGCGTTGGCCTGCGGAGTGTTGGGTTAGCAAAAATACGGGGGTTTTCAATTTTTTTCTCCTTTTAATTTGTTTCGTAAAGAGGGAGGCTAGTCGATTGCAGGAAATTCGCCTGGCCTGGATAGCGGCTGTTTTGACGTACAACGTAGAGCTTGTTGTCT